CCCCCAACCCCACCCATGTGGAGAAACCTCCAAACGTTCAGTTCTTTAGACACAGCCCAAGACCCCACCCAAAAGCTTACCATAGCACAAACACACCTTGGGACACGCCATCACCCTGCACCCCTATAGGCTACTTAAAGCATCCCCTTTGGAATGGCCATGTGAATTCTCTCCTGCTCCCATTTCCAAGAGTCACCCAGGAAGCGCTTTGCTCAGGCCTTTTACTCTTTAATTCAGCTCAATTTGACTTACTGTGTCTGTGGAGAAACCTACTACTGGGGGTACAAAAATACCTGTGAGTGTCCTCTGGAAGAAGTAGGTGTTGCGAAATGCTTCTTTACACTGTGTGAAGATGCGTCTCTGTGATTGGTTTAATAAAGAGCTGAAAGGTTAACAGCTAGGCAGGAAAAGATTAGGCAGGACTTCTGGGGACAGAGAGGACTTGGAAAGGAAGGCAGCATCACCAACGGGATACAAAAGGAGCAAGACAGGGAGAGGTAAGACCCATTAGCCATGTGACAGTGCCTACATTAATACAAACATTGATTTCAGTTATAAGAGCTAGTTAGAAACAAGCCTAAGCTAAGAATGGGTTTCATAACTAATAAAAGTCTCTGTGTCATTATTTGGGAGCTGGAGGTACAGAGAAAGCCAGCCACATTTGGCGCGCAAAGGGCCACACATGCCACATATCCAAACAAAGGGCCTAAGGAAGCAAAGGAAAGTTCTGGAGGGGGAGCTGGATGTGACTTTCTGGTCCTACAGTCTCTCAGGTGGGATGGGGCTACGCATACAGGGGCACTGCTACCAGGCCACGCCTGCAGGTTGGAGCCAGCACCAGCTCCATGAGCCAGCACCATGGGCTGAGCTAAGCTGTGTGGCAACTGGCATGGCAGTTTAATATTTGTCTCAGAGAATGCTGCAGGTATTCAGTAAATGCGAATTCAAAACAGATTCGAAAACAAAAAAACTCTAAACAGGTTACAGTGGGTTTAAAAAGTGTGCAGAGTCTTGAAAATGAAATGGACATAGACAATCATAGAAAAAATAGTTTATAAATAATAAGATAAAGTCCTTAAAGGGAGAACAAAATAATAGAAAAGGGGTTAGCCATTTAAGATGGAAAATACAGAGTCTGGATCATATATGGTGTCTTGTTCACGTTAAATTTTTTGATTGCTGGTGAGTGAATGATGACATGGGATTGTAAAAGGAACTGCTAAATTAAACCAGTCTAAGTACTTTAGGAAAGCCTTAATTTTAAAGTAGAATTTAAAAAATATATTGCGTTGGGGGAAGAGGTTATGCTTTTGTATCCATAGGAAACAATAGGCTGTGGATTTGTTCAAGACTATAGAGAATCAGGTTTAATTGGGGGAGACCTCCTGAAAATTTTGACTGCAGATATAAAAAAAATAAAGCTAGAAAAACTACAAGACAGGCGATGTGTATTTTACCTGCTCAATCATAAAACAACAACAAAAAAATCATCTTTGGCTGGCTTGTGTACAACACACAGTCCATACTTCTGTTAATGTAGATATGTCTGTTACCTTTGAAATGTATGTGTATTCAGAGCAAGGCAACCAGATGTTGTAGAATATTAGTTAAACTTATGTGTTACATTTGTTTATGCTGGGGAATGTTTGTCTAATGATGCAAAAATATGTTGCATTCTTTTATGTTGACTTTGTTTATCTTTGTAATGCTGTGTTACTTTGCCTGTCTAAACACCTGATTGTTCTAATAAAATGGCTATTAGCTGAATGACCAATAGCTAAGCAGGAGCGAGAATAGGCAGGACTGGCTACACAACCAGCTACGAAGGAAGAAGGGGGAAAAAGGTATATGGAATAGAGAAAGGTAAAAGCCCAGAGGCAAAAGGTAGATGGGATAATTTAAGTTGAGAAAAGCCGGCTAGAAACAAGCCAAGCTAAGGCATGCATTCATAAGTGAGAGTAAGTCTCCATGTGTGTATTTACTTGGGAGCTGGGTGGTGGATCCCTAAAAGAGCAAAGAGTAGAAAATTAAAATTAAAAAATTTAAAAAAAAAAACATTCAGGCGTTGGTGGCACATGCCCTTAATCCCAGCACTCAGGAGGCAGAGACAGGCAGATCTCTGTGAGTTTGAGGCCAGCCTGGTATACAGAACTAGTTCCAAGACAGGTTCCAAAACACCATGTCTCAAAAAATAAACAAACAAACAAATAAAAAATTAAAAAACTAACTACAACCAGACACCAATAAAAATGGACAGTCCAGTGATCCAGTCTTTCACGGTGCCTCAGAGTCCTGAATCCAAAACTGCTTCAAGACTGCTTACTGAGATAATCCAGCCTCATAGACTGTTCTAGCCAGGACCACAGGAAGCCTTGTGCTTTCCCATTGTACAGAGACTGGACAGCTAGCTCCCCCAGGGCTTGTCCATTATCCTAATTTTCTCAGGATCTTCCAAAGATGCCATTGCTCCCAGAAAATAAGAAGCAATCTAGAGAACATGACACCCACAGTCCCAAGACGTTGGTTGGTTGGTTGGGTTTTGGTCATTTGGTGGGTTATGGATGTTTGTCATTGTTTAGGGAGCATGTGGTTACAAATTGTTATTGGTAAGGCAGAGGCAGATGGATCTCTGTGAGTTTGAGGCCAGCTAGGACAGGGTCCATAGCTACAGAGAAACCCTGTCTCAAAAAATTGTTATCAGTAACAGTCAGAAAAACAAAAAAAAAAACCAAAAAAAAAAAAAAAAAAAAAAAAAAAGAGATTTGACGCAAGGATCGTTTTTTGAAGAGAAAAAGGGGAATATAATATAGAAATGATGGGATAAAATGGCCTCCCATTTTATCTACTTTTTTTGTTCAAAAGTCTACTTTTGAACAACCACTCATTTCAAATATTTTATATTGGTATGGATTTGTGTATATTGATAAAATTTAAGGTTATTTTTGTTATACTTATACTATGTATAATTTTTACTCTTGTTTGAGGTATTGTGCCTTACGACTCATTTAAAAATATAACGCTTTAGTCCTTGAATCTAATCTCCTTTTTTTGTTTTCTTTTTGTTTGAGTCATCTATAACTATCAAACTTATAGTCATGTTTTCAAGGTCAAACAGACATATATTTTAGGTAGGTGATCTTCAAACACTTCAAAGACCTACAGAATATGGCATTTAAAATGTTTGGTAACATAAGGCTTTTCATAATAGTGAGACATGTCTGATTCTGATAGCAACAGTGTACTTCAAAAAATGATGATGGGCATCAAAGAACCTCCATATGGAGTTTACTTTCTTTGTGGTAAAAGCTAGCAATTTTGGCAAAGGCCTGCCCTTTCCTTGACTGCCGACAGTATGTTGTGCGAACTGGACAAGCAGGACATAAAAGAAAGCAACTTCTGAACTTTGCCAAGACTGGATAAGACAGTCCTTCAAAATTCCTGCTTCACAGAAAGTTCTGTCAGATGTCCTAGGCCTGTAGGCTGAAGATGGGTGCCCTGATGTTACAGAGGAACCTTGTGTGACTGTCCAGGCAGCCAGCTGTTTCTGTCATTTCTCATAGTTTTGGAAGTTGTTTGCTATGCATTTCCTGTTTACTCAGGTAATATTATATCCCTCTCAGGTCTTTGATGGTGTTGAAGACTAGATGGTTATAGTTAGTTTTCCTTAGTTATGATAGAAAGTAATTAGGCACAAAAGTTTGGATTCTTCAAGAGAGGATAGATAGTGGAATATTTTCTTTGAATGTACCAAATACAAATAGAATACCTGCTAATTGTTATTACTGTTTATAGTTTTAGTATGTTAGAGTTAAAAACCTTTCCTTTTCATTTAGACAAAAAGGGGGGAATGTTGCAGAATGTTCCTTTACACTATTGGTTTAAAAAAAAAAAAAAAAGAGCTGAATGGACAATAGCTAGGCAGGAAGAGGTTAGGTGGGACCTCTAGGGACAGAGAGGTCTTGGGGAAGAAAACGGGGTTACTACCAGGCTGGACACAGAAGAAGCAGGACAGGCAGAAGAAGAGGTAAAAACCTCAAGTCACATGGTAGTACATAGGTTAATAGAAATGGGTTAGTTTAAGTTCTAAAAGCTAGTTAGAAAAGAGCCTAAGCTAAGCTGAGCTTTCATAATTAATAAGCCATCTCTGTGTCATTATTTGGGAGCTGGCAGTACAGAGAAAGTGTGCTGCAAGTGTGGAGACAGACTGGAGACGACAAGGGTTGACCTTGTAAATCTAGCAAGCAGCACTGCCTGGAGCCAGCTGTGGTGGCTCACAACTCTAACGCCAAGCAATTGGAAGGGTGAGGCAGGAGGATTGCTATGACTTTGAGGCCAGTCTGGACTACATCATGTCTGAGAAGCCAGCCTGTGCCACAGAGTGGGACCTGGTATCCAAACAAACAAAAACTGATTCTAACGAGAAGTGGCAAGACAGATTTGAATGCTAACTTTGGAAGCAGACTCACTCAACTGAAGTGTTTTTAGGGATGAGTAGAGTGAGGCTTCCTGCCTAAGCTAGGCCAGTAGACAGCTAAAGGGGAGCGCCATCACCAGGCCTTGCAACACAATGTTATATGTTCCTACGTATATGGCTTGTAATCGCTTTATTTATTATTGTATGTGCATAAGTGTTTGCCTGCATGCATGGCTGTGCACCACATTTGCGCATGTGGAGCCCACAGAGATAAGAAGAGGGTATCAGATCCTGGAATTACAGACAATTGTGAGCTGTCTGTGTGTGTGTGTGTGTGTGTGTGTGTGTGTGTGTGTGTGTGTGTGTGCGCGCGCGCGCGCGCGCGTGCTGGAACTCAAACCTGGCTGCTCTAGTGCTCTTACCCACTGAGTCATCCGTAGCCCATATTGTGACTTCTGAGGGCAACAGCTGCTTGGTGTTGCGTGGCTTCTTTAAATAGCACAAAAAGGAAAGCTGTGTGGAGCGTTTCTTTGCTGGCCTGAGTGCCTTTGCCTCCCCAGCCCCACTCTTCTGCAGTCACACTCACCCACTCCTCCCAGCGGGATATCTTCTCTGCCATCTCCATGGCCTCCTTGTGCTCACGCTCTGCTGTCTCAGCAGCCTCCTTGGCCAGGCGTTCCTCCGCAGCCTTCTTTTCCACTTCGACCTTTTCTTCATCTGTTAGGCCATAATTGCGAGGCTCCCCAATCTCTTTGATGAGCTGTTTGATAGCAAGTCTGTTCTGGGCATCTTCGAGTTTTCCTACATCTTTAAATGCCAGAAGAGAGGAGATCTACACACAGGTTCATGTGTCTGTGACTAGAAAAGACACTATACAGACGTGTGTGAGAAATGGTCACATCAAAGCTGCATTTTCCAGTTGGTGAGATTCAGAGTTTCATTTCTCAAGGGCAATCACAATGGAGTGTGAGAGTCAGGGGTGGGAGGATTTGGACTTGGCTCTTACAGTTCTCCTTCTGTTGCAACAAGATCCCACTAAATGGCCTTAAATAGACTGCAATTCACTATGCAGACAGCTACTAGGCCTCTGTCCTGTGTGCTGGGGTTACAAGCACCCAACACGTGAGCCCTGCCTGAGTTCTGGAAATCATCATTGATCTGAGTGGATGGGTGAGGGAATAGACTATACTATAGTGTGAATTTGTTTTTACTTTTGTCTGTGCTCGTGGTATATTGTGTGGGCACATGTATGTTGTAGGTGCACAAATATATGTGTGCACACGTGTGTGGAAGCCTGAGGCTGATCTGAGGAGCATTCCTTAATTGCTCTCTGACTTATTAATCGAGGCGTGGTCTTTCAATTTAACCCAGAGCCTGTTGATAAGAGTCAGTCTAGCTAGCCTGCTTGCTTAGGTTATCTCCACTCATTCCACAGCTGGGATTAAGGGTGGGCCACCATGCCCACCCACTGTTTATCATAAGGATCTTTTCTCTTTGTTTTTATATTTATTTTCTTAATTATGTATGTGGGATGGGGGGATGTGTGCATGTGAATGCAAGTGCCTGCAAAGGGCAGAAGAAGGTGTTGGATTACAGTGTAGCTACCACAGCTGGCTTCCCATGCTTCCTTCATTTAAACTATCCATTTCATTTGATGATGATGAAGGCCAGACTCCAGGATGTCTGCCTAATGTTAATGTGGGGCCAGAGGACCCACATGTGCTTCCCATGACCTCAGACCCTGTCTACAGAGAATGATGGTAGTGAGTACATTTGGGTACTGTGTCTTCCAGATTTATTTTATTTTTATTTATTTGGTTTCTTTCAACTGCATTTCTCTGTGTAGCCCTGGCTGTCCTGGAACCCGCTCAGTAAACCAGGCTGGCCTCAAACTCATCGAGACCGGCCGGCCTCTGCCTACCGAGTGCTGGGATTAAGGGTGTGTGTCATCGCTGCCTGGCTTGGTTTTGAGACAGAGTCTGGATATATAACCCTGGTTGGCTTTGAACTTGTGGTATGGATGCTAAGAACTAAGCCCTTAAAGGGCTGAGAGTATAGCTCAATGATGAAGCCTAGCAGGCCAGAGGCCCTGGGTTTGATTCTCAATACAAAGAAAACTGCAAAAACCATGGAAAGACCAAAGAGCAAAAACGTTTTATCTGCTACCTCTTTACTTCCTGACCTCTGACATTTAATTGTCCAGATGTGTCCCTTGCTGCATGCACACTACACTGTACTCCTCCCTGAATCTCAGGGGTAATGACAACCTTCATGTCACTCACTAAGTGCTGGAGAATGTTTTGAAAGGGCTCTATTTTGGGAGACCATGCTTGCTTGTGGGGAACAGCTGTAGGCGCCTAACAAAGCTAGAGTGGCAGAGTTACCCTTCGAGGAGTGTGGGATGGGAACAGAGTCCAGCCCAGCTCTGAGTGCAACTCCCAGTGGAACTTGAAAACTCCAGGGCCCTAGTAGGGTGGCCAGAGAACTAGAAAAGCATGCTGGTCTGAAAAGGTTGAAGCTCCAAAGAGAGAATGGATCTGGGAAATACTGGGAGAGAATTACATCCAGAAAGAGAGAGAGAGAGAGAGAGAGAGAGAGAGAGAGAGAGAGAGCTCCCTTCATACCAATGTGTATTGGGTGGATTTCAATTTCGTCAAAGTAGTTGAAGACGGTCTCATCATCAGTATTAATGTCCCGGTAGTTGCTCAGAGACCGGAGGAATCGGTCCTGGCTGTAGTGAGTCCCCGCCACGATGCTCTCCGGGAGGTTCATTACTCGCTCCTTCAGAAAGTCATCAGAGGCATCCAGACCACACACAAATTCTGGGGAGAGGGAGAAACTCTGAGGTCAGCATGGCACAGTAGAGATGGATGGCCACAGCTAACTAACATCATCAGCTGGGACCTGGAGTTGCTGCAAAAGGCCTGACACGTTGTTTTTCTTGTACCTTTCTTAGAGGAGAAATGCATGGAGCCCTCACAACTCCAGCGACTAGATGCTCAGTTGGGAGTTTGCACGGTCTGTTTTCTTTCCTCTCCTCCTTTCCTCCCACCTCTCTTGCTGTAGAAGCAGCAGATACTGTTAAGTAGAAAGTCTCTACTAACCCTGTGACAATCACATCTCTAGGCTTTCACCCCTGGCATGCTGAAGCAATGACTTCCCCACAGGACAGGGGAGGTTCAGTGAGGTTTTTGTTGTTGTTTTTCTAGATTTTTGTTTGTATTTCTTTGTTAGTTTTCAACATTTATCTTTGATTTTTAGTTATGTGTGTGCCCGTGTGTATGTAGGACATCTGTGCGTGGTGACCAAAGAGGCCAGAGGAGGGCACTGGATCCCCTGGAGCTGGAGTGAGCAACCCAAAGTGGGTACTAGCAACCCAGGACGGGTCCTGGGTTAGAGGTCTGCTGCTGGGATAAACACCACGGCCAAGGCAACCTATGGAAGGAAGGGTTTATTGGGGCTTATGGTTCCACAGGGATGAGAGTCCATCACTAACTCCCATGGGGAAGTGGCAAACATGGCGGCTGGAGTGGCAAGCAGGAAGCAGAGAGAGAGGGAGAGGAAGAGCAGACTGGGAATGACACGAGACTTTGAAAATTATTGTTGCGACTATTATTGTTATTATTATCTCATATATTACATCCCAACTACAGTTTCCCCTCCCTCCCCTCCCCCACCTCCCCTTTCTCCCAGATTCTTAAGCCTGACTCCAGTGACATACTTTCTCCAAAAGAGCCACGCCTCCTAAGCCTCCCCAAATAGTGCCACCAACTTGGGTCCAAGTAAGTGTTCAGATACAGGAGTCTATGGGACATTCTCATTTAAACTGCTACCAGTTCTTAGCTGCTGAGCTATCCCTCCAGCCCCCAGTGAGGTTTTAACATGCTCAGGGCTTGACACATTTTGAATTGAATTTTATCCAGTTGCCTTGGTGACAGCAATTTGCAAAATGAACCCCTTAGAAGTGTTTCCCAATCCTAAACCAGGCAGCCCTGTTTTGTTGTTGTAGTTTCTGTTTGGTTTTTTGAACTAGCTCTGTAGACCAGGCTGGCCTAGAACTCACAGAAATCTGATGGCTTCTGCCTCCGGAGGGCTGGGATTAAAGGCATGTGCCACCAAAGCCCGGCTCTTTTTTCTAGCAACTAATTTCATTCTTTTTCTAAAGTGTATGTCTCTACATGGAGAAGAAATTGGAGAAAACCCATCTTTTAGGCATTTCTTGTTTCTGCCACTGGTCTCAGAGACCACAGTACTCATCCCTGAGCAAGACAGAGATGACTCAGTAGTTAAGAATACTTGTGCAAGGTATGGTAGCTAACACCTTTAATCCCAGTGCTTGGGAGGTGGATGCAGGAGGATCTCTGTGAGTTCAAAGCCAGCCTGGTCTCTAAGTTCCATGACAACCAGGACTACATAGACTGTACATGCTATAGAGAGACCCTGTCTCAAGAAACAAATAGAGCACTTGCTGCCCTTCCAGAGGATCATGGTTTCAGTTCCAGAATTTGGTTCCTAGCACCTATACAGAGCAGCTCAGAACTCCATCTATCTCTAGCTCCCAGGGATCCACACTGCTGGGCCCCTAAACGCATATGCACATAGTCCCCACACCACACACACATACATACTAAAAAGAAAGCACATCTTTAAAAAATTAAATCTTCCTGGGTGGTGGTACCACATGCTTTTAACTCCAGCGCTTGGAAGGTAGAGGCAGGCAGATCTCTGTGGGTTCAAGACCATCCTAGTCTACAAAGCAAGTTCCAGGACAGCCAGGGCTGTCATACATAGAAACTCTGTTTTCAAAAACAAAAATAAATAAATAAGTAAAAATAAAATGTTGTATGGCATAAAGAGATTGAATGACATTCCCTAAAGGTGTCTTTGGAGAGGCTGAAGAGACAGCTCTGTGGGCAAAGTGCTGGCTGACAAGCTGAGGACCTGAGTTTAATCCCCAGCACCCACGAAAAAAGCCGGGTTTGGGATCACCCACTAGGAAGCACCAGGGAGGTGGACACAGGACAACCCCTGGGATCACTGGTCAGACAGCCTAGCTGAAGTGACAAGTGCCAGGTTTGGTGAGAGACCCTGTGTCACAAAACAAGGTGGATATCTCCTGAGAAATACCACCTAATGTTGACCTCTACTCTCACATGCATGTAAGTATATGTGTATACTTACGACATTAAGAAAGTATTTTCAACTCACCAGGTGTAATTAATCTATCAAAGGGAAACATTTTGCCTCTGATTTCTTCTTCTTCCTCTTCATCTTCCTCTAGTAAGACAAAAATATATATAGTTATGCTTTTTAACATATTACTGGGGGGGGAGGTCACAGTAAAAGTCCAAATACTGTTTTGTTTCATCTTTTAATGGTGTGCTGCTTGGAGCAAATACAGTTTTTTAATTGGGAAAACATTTTCGGCTTTTTGAGGTTGGATTTGAGTTCACAGCAAGTCTCCTGCCTCAGCCTCTCATGACGTAGCCCAGGCTAGCCTTAATCTTGCAAACTTCCTGCTTCTCCCTCCCCAGTACTGAGATGAAAGGTATATACATGCAGACCAGGCTTCAGATGTCATATTATGTTGGGATGTATGTATACATATGTGCCACTATGTGTACATGTATGTGGAAGGCTGAGGTCAGGTGTGTCCTTCAATCACTCCTTACCTTATTTGGGGGGACAGGATCTCTCATGGAATGTGGTGCTCACTGGTTTGGCTAGACTGGCTGGTCATCAGGCTCCAGGGGTCTGCACACCCCCAGTGGTAGGGTTATAGACACAAGCCAGGATGCCCAGCTGGGTGTTGGGCATTCACCTAGGTCCTCCTGCTTATGCGGCATGGCAAACACTTTAGGACTGAGCTGTCTCCCCAGTGGCATATTTTAACTAGCAATCATGAATGGAAACCAGCCATACACAGAATACCAAGCTCAGAAGTAGTCTCATAACCCAAATACCTATTGACAGACAAACCAATAAAAAAACAAAATGGTATATTTAGACAATGAAATACTATTCTGACTTGAAGAAGAAGAAGGAGAAGGAGAAGGAGAAGGAGAAGGAGAAGGAGAAGGAGAAGGAGAAGAAGAAGAAGAAGAAGAAGAAGAAGAAGAAGAAGAAGAAGAAGAAGAAGGCTGGCAAGGCTGGAGAGATGGCTCAGTGGTTAAGAGCTGTGGCTGCTCTTCCAGAGGACTCAGGTTCAATTCCCAGCACCCACTTGGCAGCTCACAGCTGTCTGAAACTCCAGTTCCAAGGGATCTGACATCCTCACACCAATGCACATAAAATAAAATTAAGTAACTGAAGAAGAAGAGAAGAAAAAGAAGAAGAAGGCCGGGTGGTGGTGGCGCTCGCCTTTAATCCCAGCACTCAGGAGGCAGAGGCAGACAGATAGGTGAGTTCGAGACCAGCTACAAGAGCTAGTTCCAGCTAGGCCTACACAGAGAAAGCCTGTCTCAAACCCCCCCCCAAAAAAAAGAAAGAAAGAAAGAAAAGAAAAGGAAAGAAAAAAAGAAAAAGGTTGGCACTGTGAACAAACCTGAGGACACTGTGCCAAATGAAATGAGTCAGTCACAGCAGCAGAACAAGGAGGGTCCTGAAACACTAAAATTCGCAGAATGAAACTGTGGCATGGTGGTTTCTTGGGCCTGGGGGGTAAAAGGAAAGGGGCAATTTCTAACCACTAGGTGGGAAGTTTAAGTCAAGCAAGATGCAATCCTAGTACCTGGGAGGTGGAGGCTGGGGGAGAGGGGGGGGTGTCGGATGTTCAAGATTATCCTCTGCTACACTGAGTTTAAGGCCAGTCTGGGTTACATGAAAAAAAAAAAAAAAAAAAAAAAAAAAAAAAAAAAAAAAAAAAAAAGAACAAAGGTCAGGAGGTGGTGGTGGTGCCTTTAATCCCAGCACTCGGGTTGCGGAAGCAGGCAGGGAATCTCTGTGAGTTCAAGGCCAGCCTGGTCTGAAGGGGAATGTCCTTTGCATATATGTTTCTCATATTGGTTGATGAATAAAATACTGATTGGCCAGTAGAGAGGCAGGAAGATAGTCGAGGCTAGGAGACTAGGAGAATGCTGGGGAAAGGAAGGCAGAGAGAGATGCAAAGAGAATAACAGGTCCAGACCCTTCTCTGGTAAGATAAGGCCATGTACAAATACATAGATTAGTAATTATGAGTTAATAACCAAGAGAGAGCTAGACAATAAGAAGCCCTGGCCATTGGTCAAGTTTAATAATTAATATGTCTCTGTGTGCTTATTTGGGACAGAAACCTCCATCTTCACTGGTGTACAGAGATACCCTGTCTTGAAAAACCAAAAAAAAAAAAAAAAAAAAAAAAAACAACAAAAAACCCTCACAGATTCAAGGAAACAAAATACTAAGTTTCCAACTTCTGAGAGTATAAACACGCAGAACAGAGAGAGCATCCATACTCACGATTGAACAGATCTTTTGCTTGATCATAGGTCTTTGGGAATCCATCCAAAATGTAGCCTTGGTTCCTACAAGGCATAGATTTGAGCTTTTCTTTCACAAACCGAATTACATATTGATCTTCTAGGCGACCTGATTTTTAAAAAAAATAAACACACGTGTGTTACTGTGACACAACCTACACAAGGGTGATGCTCTAAACTCATCCGGGAACTGTTGTATAGGCAAGAATGGTGTTGAAGACCCAGTTGTGTTTTTATTTTAAGCATGACATGTGTTAGTGCATATTTGAAGTAGCAGTGAACCGGTCTACAAGAAAGAGCAGGTGTAGGCAATACCAGCCACTCGTGGGAAACTTGTGGGAAGGCTGAGTGAGTGGACTAGCATCACATCCTGTAGCATCAAGTCCTGACTGCTTAAGAATTTCCTCTGAATTTACTTTATAATGCATGTGCCTCTGTGTGTGTGTGAGTGTGTGTCAAATGTGTGCAAGTGTCCTTTGAAGTGTTATGTTCCCTCCCTGGAGTGAGCTGGAGTTAAACAGATGGTTGTAAGCTGCCCAGTGTGCTGGGAACCTCTTCAAGGGCAGCATGTACTTTAAAATGCTGAGCCGTCTCTCCAGTCCCCTTCTTCCTATTATTATTATTCTCAAGGTGAGAGGACAATTTGTGGCAATGGGCTCTCTCCTGCTACCTCATGGGTCCTAGAGGAGCTTGAACTTAGGTCCCTTTATCCCCTGAGCTGTCCCACTGCCCCTCAGTTCTGTTTTCAAATTACACCTTAATACATAGTAATAAATATTTGTGTTGAGTGAGACAGTATTCAAGTGTGTTGCTATTCGGGGGATGGTGGTGCATGCCTTTAGTCCCAGCACTCGGGAAGCAGAGGCAGGTGAGGCCAGCCTGGTCTACAGAGCTAGTTCCAGAACAGCCAGGGCCACACAGAGAAACCCTGTCCTGAAAAACTAAAAGGAGGAGGAGGAGCGGAGGAGGAGGAGCGGAGGAGGAGGTCAGGCATATGTTTAATACAGGCCTTGGGTTCTGCCACACCCACACCCTCACTGTACCCTTCCCCAAGAAAAGTAGGTGCTAAATAAATATTTGCTGGATCTGAACAGCAAACTCAAGCTGACTTTCACAGGCTTTCGAAAGGGGCCAGAGCCGGAGCTTACACACTCAGCACCCGCCCGGCATAATGTGAGCAAGGGCCTGGACTCAGTCCCAGAACCCTGAATAATGATTAATAAAACTAGCATTTAAAGAAAAATGAGTCTGCAGCAGAAAGTGCTCACCCCAACCCCCACACCCTCTTCTCCAGGTCACACTTCTGACCTATGTCCTCTGGTCAGTTACTTCTTCAGCCCCCAACCCGGAGTTCCTGGAAATTGCTAGGTAGGAAAGAAAGACTGAGGGGGGAGAAGTCTGCTCTACAGTGGGCTTGGTGGCTTAAATGACAGCGTGCTGCTGCGACTCCTCCACAGCCCTATCACTGCACAGCTGTGGTGGCATGCAGGCACAGCCTGTCCGTACGCGTATGCGGCTTCATGAGGACAGTGTAAGTCTGGCAAGCCCCCAAAGACTTTCCCAGGGCTCATAATGTACCTTCAGTTTATCAAGAGTCTATGATGGAAAACAAACAGTTTGAGGCTACTTGCTACTGTTAGGTTCCCACACCCAGGACAAACTGACTGAGGTGCCTATTCAATATATCATCAAATCAGACCTGGCTGCTAGGTTTCCCCAGCATCCCTCATTCCTTACCAGTTACAGAGTTGGCTGGCATACCCCGTTCCCTACCCTGAACTCTCCAGCCCAGGGGCTGGGCCGCTTCCCCTCTCCCCTGCCCCTCCTTCCATTTTGGATTACACAGATACTAGGTCCTTCCATCTACCCTTTACTCTCCTGGTCTGGCCCCTCCCCTCCCCCATCTCCTCACATGGCCAGGCTCACAGTCATGTTCACTCTGGACTTTTCCAGATGTCCCTGCCTCTGGCTATGTCCTCCCTTTTATCTACAATAAACCTCCTCCACCATACCTAGGAGCAATCATGTCCTCCTTTTTTTTTTTTTTTTTTTTTTTTGCAGGGGTGGGGTGGGGGCGGTTGCAGTTTGAGACAGGGTTTCTTTGTGTAGCTCTGTCTGTCCAGGAACTCGATCTGTAGACCAGGCTGGCCTGGATCTCATAGAGATTCACCTGTCTCTGCCTTCTGAGTGCTGGCATTACAGGCATGGGCCACCATCACCCAGCTTTGCCTGGTTTGTTTTAAACACTGACATTTGCCATTACCTTCTACTGAGTCAGAAGAAGGGTGTGTCCAGTGAGAATGGGGTTCCTGTAGCAGCTTTTGATCATTGTGGAATAACAGAGGCATGGCCAGTGCAGTGGTTTAAATGAGGAATGTCCCCCACAGGCGTGGATGTTTGAACCCTTGGTCCCCCCAGTCGGTGGTGCTGTTTGGGAGGTTGTGCAACCTTTTGGAGGTTCAGCCTTGCTAGAAGGTATACATGACTCGAGTAGCTTTGAGCGTTTATAGCCTCTCTCCACTTCCTGCTCTCACCTCTACTTCCTGCTCGGAGTTGACGATATAAGTAAGCCCTCCCCTTTCTGCTTGCTGCCATGCCTCACCGCCGTGATGGGCTCTTAAGCCTCTGGAACCTTAAATCCAAGTAAATTATACATTGCCTTGGTCGTGGTATATCAACACAACAACAGAAAAGTGAAATAGTGATGTACACTAAGGGATTGCCTAAGAGTCTTTGTCTAGATAGCCGTGATCTCCCTAGAGATAACCTATGACCTTTGGCCAATGCTGAACTCTAAGACAGGGGACTGCCCCTTTATGTTTATTTGTTCAAGGGTAAAAGTTAACTGTGCTATTGTGTGTAATAATCCAGGCAAACCTGGCTCCGCCCCTTGGGAAACTGACAGTGTCTGTCACCCCTCTGTGCATGGCAGGCACCCTGGCTCTGTAAGCAGGTGCAAAGGTCTCTCTCTTTAAGAGATAAGCTCCGCCCCTCCTGCTCATTGCTGCACCATTTCTCTGAGGAGTCAGACAGACCTCTCTCTCTCTCTCTCTCTCTCTCTCTCTCCCTCTCTCTGTCTCTTCTTTCTCCCCCCTCTCTCTCCCTGTCCTTCCCCAATAAAAAACTTCCTTCCCACGTAAGTTCTGCCTGATGGCGTGTTTGTGTGTGTCATCATCCCCGCCATGGGATCTTCCACAGTCCCACCTCACTCTGTGTTCCTAACACTGTGTACATTTGAGGGTCACAGAGCCGTGCATGGGAGGCATGCAGAAAATAGGCTGGTTACCATAGAGGAGAAGATGAATACGGCTCTCATCTGTTATCTGTGACAAGAGCAGCCAAAATCGGCTTAACAAAAAATTTCAAATAGAACATTTAACTTTAATCGTCATGTTGTACTTGCCTTTCTACATATCTGTCATTTTGTATTTTAAAACAAAACCAAAAATAACATTTATTTTGGAGGTTGGAGAGATGCTCATCACTTAAGAGTACTGGCTGCTCTTCCAGAGAACCCCGGTTTCTGGTTCCAAGCACCCACAGAGCAATGCACAACCACCTGTAACTCGAGTGTGTGTGTGTGTGTGTGTTTAACCTAAAGAAACACTTATTTTTGTTTTATATGTATGGATATTTTGTTTTGTTTTTCAAGACTGGGTTTCTCTGTGGCTTTGGAGGCTATCCTGGAACTAGCTCTTGTAGACCAGGCTGGCCTTGAACTCACAGAGATCTGGCATGGGTATGCTTGGTGCCGGTGGAGGTCAGAAGAAGAAGTCAGATCTCCTGGAGCCAGAGTTATGGATGGTTTTGAGCCACCATGTGGGACTCACTCACCAGGCTGACCTCAAACTCACAAAGATCTGCCTGCCCCTGCCTCTTGAGACAGGGTCTTTCACTGACCCTGGAGGTCCCTGATTTGGGTAGCTGGCTGGCCAGTCAGCTCTAAGGACGCACATGTCACCAGCTCCCCAGTGCTGGGCTACAGATGTGTGGCAGGTCCTCATGTTTTTGCAGCAGGCAGTTGTGCCAACTGATCCATCCCTCCAGCCTCCCACCCCCTCCTCCTTTTGTTGTTACAGACAGGGTCCCTTTATTTATCCCAGGCTGGCCTGGAACTCAGATTCTCCTTCCTCAGCCTCCCCAGCCTAGGATTACAGGTGTGAGCCACCGCATCTACTTTCCACTATGTTAGGAATGTCCATCATAGCTGGGCCTGTCTACTTTAAAATGAATGAGCGAAACCCAACTGGACACAGCTGTTAAATTACTACCCTGGGTTTCTTCGGTTTAGTTTCCAGTCTGTCTTTTCAATGTTAGTAATAATTAAAATGTTACTATTAACCCCACATTCATAATTACTACAATGGGTTTAAAAGTAGATGCCAACGCTGGGCATTGGTGGCGCATGCCTTTAGTCCCAGCACTCAGGAGGCAGAGGCAGGTGAAAATCTCTGTGTGTTCGAGGCCAGCCTGGTCTACAGAGCGAGTTACAGGACAGGCTCCAAAACAATACAGAGAAACTCTGTCTTGAAAAAAAAAAAAAAAAGTAGATGCTAGCTGCTATATTCCATTGTCCTGTGCACAGGGAAGATGTGAAATGGACAAAAGTGTGAACATTTGTCCCTTTTTAGTTTAGAAATCTCAGATAAATCCCAACAGCCTGACTCAGCTCTCTTGAGTGAAGCAAGTGAGCACAAAGAATCAATCCACGGCAGCTACGGCAGCTGGCGGTGGTGGCAGAGCTCACCTTCCATCCCAGCACTCGGGAGGCAGAGACGGGCAGATCCGTGTGGTCGAGGATAGTCTGGTCTACAGAATAAGTTTCAGGATAGCCAGGGCTACGTAGAGAAACCTGGTCTTGAAAAACAAAACAACAACAGAAGAATCCATATTGAAGGCATGCTGGCTGACCCGCAGGCGTGGTGAGAGATATTCCCAGGGGCCTCGCGGTACCTCCCTGTGGGCTGTGGAACCTGTGCTGCTGGAGACATTGGAACTGGGAGAGGTCATGTGAGGGAAGACAGAGCTCGTGTTCTGGACACCTGTCCCTGGCAGAGGGTTCAAAGGTCTTGTTTTGTTCAAAGGCACTAAAGGTTCATGTTCTCGGTTCAAGTAAACACAGGCAAGAGAATTTTTGGTTTTGTTTTGTTTTGACAAGCTTGATGTCCTTGTTTCCTTTCTGTTCCTGTGATGAAATATACAAGCAAAAGCGACTTGGGGGGGTGGCTTATTGGGGCTCACTGTTCCGGGTTTATGGCCCATCACTCCAGGGAAACCAAAGTGGCAAGAACATCCACAGTTGAGAGCAGAGAGAAATGAATGCGTGCATGCTATACTTAGCTCTTCCTCTATATACTCATATAGTACTTGACCCCCCAAGGTTGGTTGATGCCACCCACAGAGGCTGAGTCTCCCCACATCATTCAATAATCAATACAATCTCCCACGAACACACCCACTGAACGCCCGAGGATGGCAAACATGGCACCCACCTCTCCCCCTTGCTAAACTGTTAGAGTACATTCCTAAAGCTAGCCCGCAAGGTCTATTCCATTATTTAGCCGCTGACTCATTCCCAAGGCTGATCACCAAGGCCCAACTATCAAAACACCAAGATCCAGCAGCCAAAATTCATTATTTTGACTAACCTAATTAAAATACCAACATGTCCTAGATAATTCTTACACAGACCTCCCCGCTTTTCCTCTTAAAACCAACTCTTACAAATCAATTTGCTGCGGTTTCTGCCTGAGTCGAACTCAACCACCTTGTCGAGGTGCCCTGCCTCCTCAGGGATCTCTCTGAATTTGGTTTGCACTTGGAAATTGGTGTTTGGGTGTGGTCTGTGCCTAATCGGGGTCCGGTGAAGAGTGCTTGGAAGTACTAGGGTCCCTTCACCCACAGTCCAACCTGATTTAGGGGACCCTCACCAGGACTCTCATCCCTACTGTAGGCTGTGCCAAGTTGACAATTAAATTAGCAAAGACCCTCCTAGACTGAGAGGAGACCAGTTAAGTGATTCTGACTTCTAGAAGTGGGGGGCGTGCATTGGGGTGCCAGCTGGGAGAGGCTACGGCAGAAGAATAGTGAGTCTGAGGGCAGCCTGGGTTATATAGAGATATCCTCTCTCAAGAGACCAAAACAAAGCAGTACAAAAACCATTTTGATTCATCCTGTAGGTTGAGGACGGGACGCCCATACCCATACCTCTTCTCTAGAGCCTGTGTCCAGCCATAATGTCTACCTGTTTGTTCCCAAACACTCCATTCTCCAACTCAATGTGATCCTGGCAAATTTCCTTTCCTAGTTCCTCCCCACATGGAATGTCTGATCTTGAGGGATTGCACTCCCCTCCCCAAAAGGGAGAGCTAGGGCCATGGGGAAAGTTAGCCAGACTATGGTTCCAAAAGGCCTCGTGGGCAGGGCAGAGGCCTCATTGAATCTCCAACTATTAGCCTGTGTTTTCCACACCCACACACTCTTTCCCTGGGGAAATCTCTATCTAAACTTCATTTCCTCATGGGCTATCTCACAGAAAAGCAAGAACATGAGTAGGTCAGCTGGTATAAATGAACATTTAGGTATCTATGGTCAAACCCATTCTCTGCCAGATCAGGCTGGCTTAGGACAAGAAAGAGGTAACCTGGACTTAAGAGAAAATCTAGAAGGGCTATAGAGTGAAGGCAAAGCTGGCATATGCCTTGAAGAGGCAAGGGAATCTCTGAGTTCAAGGCCAGCCTAGTCTACAGAGCGAATTCCAGGACAGCCAAGGCTACACAGAGAAACCCTGTTTTAAAAACAAAAAGAATCACAACAACAAAGGGCAAAGGTGTGTAATAAACTGGACAGTCAAGGCCTGGAAGCAGAACACATAGTCTGCAGGCAGATCAAAGGTTCCCGGGCAGTGGCGAATCGCTGTGTGGGATCCCCGGGTGACCAGGATGTCCTGTAGTGCCACAGCTGAGGTAGCAGGCACTTGTTGGACTGGAAGGCTGGCATCTCTGCCTTCACTGCACATCTTTTCTCTGTACTCAGCAGATGGGCATGTTTAACCACCCAAAGAACCCTCTAAAAGCTACCAGTACCCACATTCTCTCATCTCCCTTCCAGCCTGAGGACACAGGGAGAAGCGTTCGTTGTCCTGAGCCTGCAGTCACCTTGGGTTTGGAAACAGTAGGACCTCACAGAGTGGCCAGTGTGGTGCAAGCCCTTCCGGCCTTTCCAGAAGTGCTATTACCTCTGGGGCATGGAGTGGGATCTGACTGTGTTCAACTCCCAAGGTCAGGTGTCTGGCTGAGGACTCCCTTGTTTTAGGGTCCAGATTAGCTGGCAAGAGGCCCATCTTGCTGCCAAAGGTTTGGTACTCCAGAAGAAATCTCTACAGCGTGGTTCTCAACCTGTGGGTCAGGACCCTTTGGGGGTGTTGAAAGACCCTTTCACAGGGGTCAGATATCAGATGTCCCATATCATCAGGTATTTATATTACAATTCATTTCAGCAACAAAATTACAGTCATGAACTAGCAATGGAAATAGCTTTGTGGTTGGGGGTGGGGGTCACCACAACATGAGGAACTGTATTAAAGGGACACCGCATTAGGAAGGCTGAGAATCACTGTCCTAGAGGACCAAGGAGGGCAGTTGGGGTCTTGGCTCCATGGGAGGCCACACAGAAAATAGCAGCATTCTCCCAGTGTATTCTGTTACCTTGAGGATGCCATGTCCCTGTCACCTAATCTCTACTTAGCACCACCCAACCCTGGAGCATCAGAAATAGCCACCAGCAAGGGCAGAATAAGGAGGAAGACAACAAGAAAGTCACTGGCGAGCCTGACGAGATGGGAGTGGCGAACACTGATTACACTTAGCTTGGTTTGTGTACGATGCTAGGATCCCCATGCTAAAGAAGGACCATGTTTTGATGATGCTGCGGCCCACACCAAAGGAAGTGCTCTGTCAGTGAGCTATGCTGACAACTCCTGCTTTGTTTTTAATTAGAAAATTATCAGATAGTCACCTAAATATTAACAATAATTTTTTTTTGTTCTTTGAGACAGGGGGGTTCTCTGTATTGCTTTGGAGCCTATCCTAGAACTTGCTCTGTAGACCAAGCTGGCATGAACTCACAGAGATCCTCCTGCCTCTGCTTCCGAGTACTGGGATTAAAGCATGTGCTACTACCACCTGGCTCTACAATACTTTTTTTCTGAGGGATGAGATTATGAATTAAATATATTATTATTACCATATTTTCTAGAGCGCTTTACTTTTGCAAACAGGCAGATTAGAGGAAAGGTTTTTATTTTGTTTGTGTGTGTGTGTGTGTGTGTGTGCATTTAGACATATGAGGGCAGTACGTGTGGAGTCCAGAACTGGAGTTACAGGTGGTGACATTTGTATGTGGTTGCTGGGAACCAAACTGGGGTCCTCTAGAAAAGCAGCCAAAGCTCCTGACCACTGAGCCATCTTTCCAGCCCATAGGCAGCATTTGATAACCAGACTGAAAACCAAAGCAGCTACTGTGCCAGCCTGGCACAGCTCTGCCCATCAGCCCCCTGAGCTTCACCTGCATTCTGCACAGTGCTGCCCATCGGCCCCCAGCTCTGCCCATTGGCCCTGAGCTTCACCTGCGTTCTGCTCCATGCAATCCCTGATGCCGTCTAGGAGCTCCTGGGCTTCATCCACATTTTCTTCCTCTTCCTCCTCTTCGCCTTCCTCTTCTCCTTCCCCTGACTCCTTGGGTGCAACAATCGCCTCCTGTATGCCACAAGGACAACCAAGTTGACCGTGCCCAACACTGATGATTTTCTCACCAACAGTTTGGCTAGAGATCCTGGAGGAAAGCCCAAGTTGGGAGTGAACCCGGTACCAGGCACCATGCAAAAGCCTGCAGGATGTGTGCATCCACCAAGATGGACAAGGGCCTCAAGGCTTTCCTTAACTCTACTTTTAGGAGAAGAGTAGTATATTCAGATTTAACTCCACAACTGCCAAGGAGTCAGCAATTCTCCAGATTGTACCTTCAGTTTTTGATTTTTTTTTTTAATTTGAATCAGAGTCTAACTATCCAACCCTACCTGATCTGGAGCTTCCTATGTAGATCAGGCTGGCCTTGAACTCACAGAGAGTCATCTGCCTTTGCTTCCTCATCATCTAGTATTAAAGGCACGCACCACCATTTTATTTATTTATTTATTTATTTATTTATTTATTTATTTATTTAGAGACAGGGTTTCTCTGCATAGCCCTGGCTTTTCTGGAACTCAAAGATCTTCCTGCCTCTGCTTCCAAAGTGCTGGCATTAAAGGCTTGCTTACACGACCACTTTCAATTATATGTATATGAGTGTGTCTGTGTGTAGGTTTGTGCACATGAGTGCAGTATCCATGGAGACCAGAAGAGGGTGTTGATCCTCTGGAGCTGGAGTTACAAGAGGTTATTAACAAGTATTCCTAATTGCTGAGCTATCTCTCCAGCACCTGGATTCTATCTTACTTGAAGGAAATACATTTTATAAAAATCAAGACTTTTAGGCTGAGGGTGTAGCTCACTTAGTGTACAAAGCCCAGTTTGATTTCTAGTACTCTCCAAAATGGCCTTTCATAACTACTTATGGATGCATATCTTGTTTTCTACCATTCCTAACAAAATTATTTAAAGAAAAAAGATCATAAATAGCCTGACAGTAGGCTGAGAAAAATACAATAAGATTAAAAACAAAACTAAACTAAAAATATTTTAGCCAGCAGAGAGAAGATAAGCTGTACTTTGGGAGAGACTGGGGGCAGAACTCCAAGGACAGCCCTACAACTGCCCCCATCATACAAAAGATAGAGCCCCGTGGGGTTTTCCATTTTCATAACTGGAACCAGCAACAAAAACCAATTAAAACAATACATTTCTTTGACATTCTGAATTAGTCACTTGCTTGTTACACAGAGACACATTTTGGGAAATGGAAAGATTCCCAGGGAAGCAGTTGAACGCCTTACCAGTTTGGCTATGGCTTCAGAAATCACATCCTTTATTTTGATGTGATGTAGTTTGTAATACTTGACCAATTCTTCAGCGATGCTGGATTTTCCCACAGCAGGAGGACCAAGAATGCAGATCTTGATTGGCTAAAAAGGAACAGAAAATGTATCTTTTAGGGCTCTGGAGCTAGAAGGGGTGTTATTTCAGGACTGTGTTCTTTTCAATGTCTCTGGACCCTATAGTCTGACTTCAGCAACTCAACCAGACTCCAGACTTTCTGCCTCCACTCCCTGACAGTGGGGTCACTACCCCAGCATCCTGAAAGTGTCGCCTCCTACTTGTGTGGCTCTGAGTCATTCATTCCGTGAGGATGTAATAGCATCTGTGTTCTGACCTGGACCAGGGGACAATAGAACATTCAACAAACCATGATTAGGATGCTGGGTGTGATTGGTACACGCCAGTGGTCCCAGCACTTGGGAGGTGGAGGCAGGATAATCAAGAGGTCAAGGCCAGGCTCAGCTAGATAGTGAGTTAGAATCCATCCTGTGTTATCTGAGGCCCTGTCTAAAAACAAACAAACAAAGCCGGGCGTAGGTGGCTTATGCCTTTAATCCTAGCACTCAGGAGGCAGAAGCAGGTGGATCTCCATGAGTTCAAGACCAGCCTGGTCTACAGATCTACAGAGCTAGTTTCAGGACAAGCTCCAAAGCAATACAGAGAAACCCTATTTTGAAAAAGCAAAAAAAAAAAAAAAAAAAAAAAAAAAGTAATAAAAATAAAAAATAAAAGAGAAATAGAGAGAGGAAAAGAAAGGGTTACATGTCACCAGTTTCGTTTGTCCTTTGTCCTTGACCATTCTTATGGAGACACAAGAATTTATGGTCCACTATAAAAGGTTCTACATTTCCACTTAGACTGTCTTTGGATTGAACTTGGTCTTTATTTTGATTTTAAAAAGTGATCTATCATCTATCTACCTACCTATCTACCTACCATCTATCTGTCTATCATATATTTATTTCAGACAAGTTCTCACCATGTAGCCCAGACTGGCCTTGAACTTTTGAACATATTGCTTCTGCCACCTGATCATTTTGTTAAAACCACTAGCTTTTCCTGTTTGAGGAAGTTAGAGAGTTCAAGGCTGCCTGGGCTACATCCGGCACAAGATCTTGTTTTAAAAACAAAATAAAATAAGGGAGAGAGGGAGGGAGGAAGAGTTAGAAGGGAGAAAGGGAGGAAGGAAGGCAGACTTGGATGTTGAAGATCCCGTGATATTCATAAGCAGTTAGTAAATAAATATTTACATTAAGCAGAAATCAAAGTATCAGTAATAATCATCATTTCCTCAAATGGTCCAAAGAGTTGTGACACTGTGGGCTAGCATTTTACAATGATGGAACACTGGCTGTGTTCATATTCCTAAGATCATATGATTTCACCCTGAACTTTGCAGTTACCCTTTGATAGTCAGGGACACCCATGAAGGGATAAGCATGAACGCTAGAGTGGATCTGAGTGGTCCCATATGGTGAGGGATGACAGGTAAGTAGCAAGATGTAGAAAAGTGATGGAGGCAGGATGAAGGGCAATGCTGGACCCCTAGACGGGCTTGTTGTAGTCACCAGTATGTGGAGTCAGCTATCCACTGAGCAGGTTGGTGTGCCTCTTTTTGCCAATATACCAAGAGTGAATCCTGCCTCCTGGGGCAGGTCGACCTTATCTGGGACTAAAAGAGAATAAAAATCTGCTCATTAGTTTATATTGACCAGTTTGTTATTATTGATGTTCATGTTGAATTGTTTTAAGTTGGTCTCACAATTTTTCTTTTTTCTTTTTCTTTTTTTTGTTTTGTTTTGTTTTGTTTTGTTTTGTTTTGTTTTTTTTTGGGGTTTTTTGGAGACAGGGTGTCTCTGTGTAGCTTTGGAACCTGTCTTGGAACTAGTTCTGTAGACCAGGCTGGCCTCGAACTCAGAGAGATTGGCCTGCCTCTGCCTCCCGAGTGCTGGGATTAAAGGTGTGTGTCACCAAAGACTGGCAGACTCACAAGTTTTAATTCGATACACATGCAAACCATAAGACTGGAGAATGTGTTGAACATGAACAGTTTGGTTATTTTTTATTAATTTATTTTTTTGCATTCCAATCCCAGTTCCCTCTCCCTCCTCTCTTTCCACTCCCCCCGCTCCCCCTCCCATCTGCTCTACAGAGATGGTAAGGCCTTCCCTAGGAAGTCTACTAAGTCTGCTGAGGCAGGACCAAGGCACCCTCCCACCCCCCACACCCCTGTGTCTAGGCTGGGCAAGGTGTCTCTCCATATAGAATGGGCTCCACTAAGTCAGTCTGTGCATTAGTGTTAGATCTTGGACCCACTGCCAGTGGCCTCATATACTGTCCCAGCCACACCATTGTCACCTATGGTTTTCTGCAGGTTCCTCATTTGTCAGACCTGAGTCAGTGATCTCTCACTAGCTCGGGTCAGCTGATTCTATGGGTGTCCCCATGGTGTCTTGACTCCTTTGATGAACAACCGTCAGTGCATTCCATTTTTATTTGCTTACATCAGAACCCTAAACCAGTAAGTGCGGTAGTTACCAGTAGTCCTCGGCTTTGTTTGTACTCTTTGAGGATGCTGTTGATGTTCTCCACAAATCCTGCTTGGGCAACCCAGCGGATGTTGAAATTCTCCTTCACAAACAGTGCCTCCATCCTCAGGTTGACCAGTAAGTGGTCAAGATACTCTTGCTGAGAGTTAGGGGAAAGCAGAGGTTTGTCATCAGACAAAAATCGCTACACTTAAGAAAAGCCATCCTGTTCATTGAACAGGAAAGACAATCAGCACTAAGTGTTAACAGAACCTGCCTCGCTGTCCCCAGGTGTGGGATCCAGGGCTTACCTATACTCTGTTACCAATGAGCTTCAGCCTCGACCCTGAGACTTTCATTTCTTTCAGTCTGTCTTTCTTTGTCTTTGTTGTTTGGTTTGGTTTGTTGTTGTTGTTGTTGGGTTTTTTATTTGTTTGTTTGTTTTTTGAGACAAGGTTTCCTCTATGTAGCTCTGGCTATTCTGAAATTCACTCTGTAGACCAGGCTGGCCTTGAACTCAGAGATCTGCCTGCCTCTTGAGTGCTGAGATCCAGGGCATGCGCCACAACTGTCCAGCTGCCCTGAGACATTTGAAAAGGCTCTTCAAACCTGGCCATTGGAGCAGGCAGAACTGCTTTTGGTTGGCCAAACAGCTCAAGAGTAGGAGGACACTGGAACCCTCTTCCAGTCCTCTCCCCTTCCCTTTCCACTCCTTCATTTCTCCTTTCTAGCCTGAGACAGGGACTCACGTAGCCCAGGTTAGCCTTGAAGTCCCTATTTAGCCAAGGATAACTCTTGATTCTTCTGTTTTCAATCCCCAAGTTTAGGATAATTGCAGGTACATACCACCATGTCCACCCTTGTCCCCACCCCACCCCCCAATGCTGGCATATGCTCAGCAAGTGCTTCAGCTCAGTTCCCTTAACCTTCTGAGAGTGCCATTCTGTTATGTGGTGCAGGCCCGGTATTGGTCAATGCCTTAAACACGAGAGGCAAGCACTCCACTGAGTTAATGCCCAGCCTTCTTTCTGCTTTTCATTTTGATTGAGGGTTTCACCTAGTTGCCCAGGTTAGTATTGAGCTCATTCTATAGCCCAGGGTGGCCATGGATTTAGATCCTTCTGCCTCAGTCTCCCTAGTAGCTGGGGTTACAGGTATGAGCCCATCAAGCCTGGCCCTAGCCTTTTAAAACATCTTATTGCATACTGTCTATATTTTGTCTTTATTTTGTTTGTTTGAGACAGGGTCTCACATAGCCCAGGCTAGCCTTGAACTAATGACATGCTGTTGAACTCCTGATCCTTCTGCCTCTACTTCTTCATGTGGGGATTACAAGTATCCGCTGTCATACCAGCTAACATCTACTTTTTTGAATAATGCCTCCTTATGGTTAACCCCCCCCAATAATTATATTCGAGGAAAATGTTCTCTCTAATCCACAACCCCCACACACCCTCTCCTGCTCCTTCAATACTATTTAGGGAAACAGTTTTTGAGAATAAAAGAAAAAAACACTTTTTATACTGACTGTCAAGTCCTTTGTTAGGAAAGCATTTTCTTTGGGTACTTTCTGGATTTTTCCAGGGCCAGTATTTTTGCTGATGCACTGTTAGGGAGAAACAGAGGTATTATTTGGTTTGCTTACAAGGTTCTACATAAAACTTCTCAAGTGAATGTAAGCATTACCAAGCACATACACTAAGAGGCATTTTCAAAATAGTGCACAGATCATCCAGCCACTTATGGGTTGGCTCTGAAAACACCAGGAAGTAGAGATGGGTGGGGCTTGGTCTCCCAGGTTGCAGAAAGGAGTCTGACGCGTGAACAGACCACTGTCCCCTGGGTGTTTGAAGTCCAGCAAAAGGAGTCTATGCCACTGTCTATTAAACACGCATGGTGGGAGCCGGTGTTTTAGACTGAGCTCCTGCAATGAGCTCCAACAGAACAGAGAAAGATGGGGTCACTAAGGCCAAGGGTCACATCACCAAGAGAAACTTCAGGATGCTGCTCTTATCTCCCAAGGGTCAGACCCCATAGCAGACCTTGTCTTTCTCCCCAAAACTAGAAATTCCTTTCGTTTCAACCCTCAGACCAGTGGCTCTTAACTTCCTAATGCTGTGACATTTTGACATTTCCTCATGTTAACCGGGCAGGAAGGCTGCAGATGAAGAACCTGGAACTGAGTCTTTTTTAAAAAAAATAATTTATTTAACTTTCTTTTATGTGCATTGGTGTGAGGTAGCAGATCCTCAGGAACTGACTGGAGTTACAGTTGTGAGCTGCCTTGTGGGTGCTGGGAATTAAACCCGGGCCTCTGGAGGAGGAGCCAGTGCTTTTAAACACTGAGCCATCTCTCCAACCCCCTGGAACTAAATCTTAATGGCGAGCATGGAGAAGCCAAGCAAGGGCCAGAGGAGGCCACAGCAGCTCCGCCAGGTGCGAGGAGGCTGTTTGGAACTGCCTGACCCTTGTCTAGAGAACCTAGAAGTGCCTGAGGGTTTGGCGATCTGGTCTCTACCAGTCCTACAGGCCAAGTGTCCACAGACTCCAACGTGTCATTTGCATATCTATTATGATGAGCTCCATTCTCTCAGTTGGTGATCTGGCTCTCTTACATGATCAGATTTTTTTTTTGTCTTTTTTTTTTTTTTTAAGATTTATTTATTTACTACATGTATGTCTGTGTGAGACTGTCAGACCCCCTGGAACTAGGGTTACAGATGTCTGTGAGCTGCCGTGTGGGTGCTGGGAATTGAACCTGTGGCCTCTGGAACAGCGACTCTTAACTGCAGTGCTGACTTTCCAGCCCCAAAGATAGTCAGTTTGAGGTCTAAGGACATTCTATTTCGTGCGTTTCCAAGCCCTGCGGTCACAGGGAAGTCTGTAACTACCCTTCATGAATTACTGCTATTTGAGCAGGGTCCCACCGGCATGAGGACACACACCACTGTACCTTGACCAGGTCTTCCAGGGTGTGGACAGACTCGTCCACAGCCACCAGATAGTGAAGCTTTGGCACATGGTCTATGACGTTCTGGATCACTCTGTAGAGCAACAGGCACAAAGATTAGACGGGAAAGGCAATGAGACAAACGGAGCTCAAACCCAACCCCCCTCGGGCCACGCAGGTGTTTGGATAAGATCAAGGACAGGGCTATTATCTGCAGTCTACAGACAAGGGAGGATTAAGAAGTTAGGCAACCCTTCCCAAACTAAAGAGTTCCTGGGAAGCTGCCAGGTCTGCAGACAGATACATTTGGGTCACGAATCTGCTTTTTTTCTTTCACATTTTTCGATTTCTTTGGGGTTTTTTGTTTTGTTTTGTTTTGTTTTGTTTTTTTGAGACAGGGTTTCTTTGTGTAGCTTTGGAGCATGTCCTGGAACTCAGTCTGAATCTGTAGGCCAGGCTAGCCTTGAGCTCACAGAGATCCACTTGCCTCTGCCTCCCGAGTGCTGTGGTTAAAGGTGTGTGCCACCATGCCTGGTTCATTTTATATTACTATTGTTGTCATTATCATCATCATTATATTATTCTGCCACTAGGGGTTGAGCTCAAGGTCTTGCACATCCTGGCAGGCATGCTACCACTGACCTATTCCATCCCCAGCCCTCTATCCTTCTACTTTTTAGTTATTTTGAGACGGAATCTTACTAAATTGACCGGGTTAGCCTTATACTTGCTTTGTCACTCAGGCAGGCCCTGGACGTTTGGTCCCCATGCCCCCAGCCTCCACGGTAACTGACATTGCAGAAATCCTTATCCCAGGGACGACCAGGTCTCTTTTAAGTACCCTACCCAACTCTAGGAGACCTGATCCTGACCCTCATCAGGAAGGTTTGTCTACCCAGCGGCTCACGTGAGTCTCACAGCTGTGTGTGGGGGTCAGTGATCTGCAAAGTGAGACACAGATTCAAGATATGGCAGCTGACCTTTTTTGTTGTTATTATTTTTCGAGACAGGGTTCTCTGTGTAACAGCTCTGGGTTTCTTGGAACTCACTCTGTAGACCAGGCTGAGTTCTCAGAAGCGGCCAGAACCTCCATGTTTAAAAGCCTGTGTACTTGTCCCCCTGGGGCAGAGAGTACCACGTGGGGTGGGTCTGCTGAGGGTTGGAATGTTGCACATCAAGAACCAAAGGTTCTTCAGGCCCTTGGGAGAGAAACAACCATTCCCTCTTAACCTCCTTATCATGAGACTCTCATGTCTATTAGGTAAGCCTCCAGGAATGGAATGCGTCTTTAGCCTTGACCAATCTCTAGCCTTCTCCAACCCCAAAGCAAAGCAGACTATAAGACAACATCTGCTCATCATAGGAAAGATTTTGTGGTATTCCTGTCACCTGCTCCATTCGGGATCAGTGTACTTATTGGATATACTGACTCGTGATTCCTTTTGTTCTGAGGCTGTGAAACACCATATGGCTTCTTCCCTTGCCCCGACCCGACCCTTCACTTAGGGAAACTAGAATCTGTGTTCATAGGCCATGGCCTGAGGATAAATTGTTTTCTTATTTCCTTATAAGATTTGAATTCCTCACAGTCGAAAAGCTGAGGCAGGAGGGTGAGCTAAAGCTTGAGACCCTGTCTCAGAGGAGATGGTGGGGGGGCCTGTTTCAGGCTCACAGTTAGCTGATTAGTCTCCGGAACTTTGGCAGTATGCAGGACATTGACACCCATCTCCTCTGAGACAAAGGGGAGAAGAAATGGATTAACCAGAATGTGGACTCCAAATCCTTTCTTTTCTAGAGCTGTTTTTCTGCTAAGAAAAAGTCCCAAAGAAGCCACACTTGTAATCAGAAATGTGGAAACTTTGGGTGGACAATGTCTCATCAGGCACAAAATGGTGGTGCTAAGTGCGCTCTGCATGGAGCTGTGGGGAATGAATACCTTGTATGTGAGTGTCACAGCACTGTGACTGTGAAGACTAATTACACATATTAGTCACCCAGGACAGTCACACTTCCAGGAGACGGCTTACCCTGCGAGATCAAGAACATGGATGGCTGGAATGACATTAGATCCATCGCCAAAAACAGGTAGTGCAGGGATCTCGCCCAGCCAAGCCATCTGAAAGACAGACAGGCAGGGAGTGTTTGCCCTGGCATGCCTTTCTCCCTCTCCACCCACATCCGGGTCAGTCAGAGGGCTCCAGAAGCGCCACCACGCCTGGCCTCTGGATGTCTCCTCTCAGGGTTCTTTCTCTCCTAGACTTTTGTCCTATTGGCCCCATAAAAATCTGTAAGAGTATGGTTTTTCTGCCTGCTGCCGCCAGGTCTTGTCCTGCCGCCACGCCAGCCCCAAATAACGCGCTGAGACTCTGTATTTGATACAATACTGTTGGCCCGGTTACTTGTTACTTATCGGCTAGCTCTGCCTTTAATTATTAACCCATTTCTGCTGATCTATGTATTTCTCTTACCAGGGAGCCGGCGGCATACTGCTTTCTTCAGACTCTCCATCTTGACTCCTCCTTACTACTTCCTATTTCCTCCTTGTCTCCTAGTCCCTCCTATCTTCCTTTCCTATTGGCCAACAGTGCTTTATTATTAACCAGTATGAGAAACATATATACATAATGGCATCTCCCATCATCTCCTCTTTTCTGTTTAAATAAAAGAAGGGTTTTAACCTTAACATAGCAAAATATATAACACAACAGTTATCAAATAAGAATCACAGTTAACAATATTTAGTCCATTAACATTTATCAAGATTAAAAGAAACTATTCTATCATCTATCCTATATTTGTGAGTCCAAAGTCCTATTTGTAACTTATCTGTAAACCTAACTAAGGAAAACTATAACCATAACTATCTGTCTTCAACTCCTTCAAAGACCACAGAAGGATAGTATATAAACTCTAGAAATGACAGAGACAACTCACTGCCTGGTCACCCGAAGTTCTTTTGTAATCTTCCATCTTCAGCCCATAGGCCATAGTGTGTCTGGCAGACTCTTCAGCAAAGCAGGAAACTTTAAACTGTCTTCTTGTATTGGCAGTTTGTCAGTCACTTTTCTCTGTGTCCTGCATACTGTCTCACAGACTCTTCCATAAAGCAGGATCTCTGTAGCAATGTCCATCTTGAATCAGCAGTCACTTTTCTGTGGGTCCTGCATGTCCAGTTTATACAGCATAAAGTCAAACAGTCCAGACAAGAGCAGTATCTTGTCCAAATGGCTAGTCTTGCCATATTGGAAGTAAACTCCATAATGAGTTTCTTCAATGTCCATCTTCATCTTCCTTTCTGACGCAGGTGGTGTTGCCAGGAACAATTATGTCTCATTGTCAAGAAAAACCCTAAACCATTTTAGATGCCATATTCTGTAGGTCTTTGAAAGGTTTGAAGAATGCCTATCCATCTCAAATATATGTCTGTATATCTAGAAATACTAACTAACTTAACTATAAGTTCTAACTATCATAGGTAACTATCTATAATCTATACTACATTATACATTACATTTCTAACTGAGCTCAATAAACACAATACCTAAACAAGAGGAGAAATATACATATCACCTTATTGACCTTAAATTGTATCAATAAATGAAAATCCATTCCAAAACAAAGTATTCATATCTATACCATAATTCCCTTTTTACCTTTAAAAATAATCGGCTGTGATCATTACCCATTTATAACCAAGTCCATTTAAATGAAAACAAACATTCATAAACAATATTTGGGAATTTGGGCGTCGTTCTTTCTAAACTACTTCCTGCTTGTAGGGGGCGCTGTCATGGGGGATCCTAAGAAGACGTAGTAATCCTGGCTGTAGTCTGCAAGACTGCCTTGTCCAAGCTGTTTTGAATGTTGGATCATCAGGAACTCTGTTTCAGGGGGTCTGGCTTGCTCAAACCACATAAGTCTGGAAGGAATCCACAGCTTTTTATTTTCTGTGGAAACAAAAATAGAAATCCTTTTCCCCAGTAACTTGTCCTTGAACTTAAATGTTTGAGTCAAAGCATTTTTAAAATATATAAATTCAATTAATGCAGCAGCATTTCCTTTATCAGTTGTTGTTATTTTCTCAGCAGTCAAACAATGCAGAGACAACACAATAGCATACAGTAACCAGATTCTCTCTGAGCTTTTCATCTTTACGTGGCTTTATTATTACTCTGTTTATTTTACTTTTATTTTTTATTTCTTGACATAGGGTTTCACTGTGTAACTCTTATCTGTCCTGGAATTCACTCTGCATACCAGGTTTACTTTGCAAATCACAGAGATCTGCTTGCCTCTGTCTCCTGAGTGCTGGGATTAAAGGCGTGTGCTACAACACCCAGTTCCTCTTTGTCTATTTAAAACCATTTTATTTTTCTCTCCCAAGCCTATGTATTTTTTTTTTTAAACACACTGTAAACTTTTAGCACCTTTTCTTAATGTGAATCTGTCTCTACTGTAAATCTTTATCTTTTTCTGGCCATGAGTCTTTATCTGTTAAACAACAACATTGTTAAGATGAAAGTCTTTGTTTCTGCCGCGGTTTACCAAAGATGGTGGCGGGTACTTTTACCGGCCAGCATGGAAAGCTGTGCTCACCGCCTTGGTCTGCGCTGCCACCCAGAAAGCATGCTGCCGGCTTGGAGATGTGGTCACTGCCATTGCCATCTCTCATACACAACAATAAATTGTTAGCAGAGTTATTTAAAAGCTGTGCGGTTTTTTGCCGCTTAAGCTGAGTCAGGAATCTTCCCTTAAAGGAGCCGAACAATCTGCGTGTCTCTAGCAAGTCAGAGTCCAACTGAGAAAAATGCTGCTACCAAGAAACCTTGCTTATCTCTGTTCTTTTGTTTCTAAAACCCATTTTTAACCTTTTGTTAAATTTTAAGTGGAAGTTCTTACTAGCCACGTGGGCGCCATTTGTAACGAGTACGGGTTTTTCCTCCCGCCGCCCGGTCTAGTCCTGCTGCTGCGCCAGCCCCAAATAATACACTGAGACTCTGTATTTGATACAATACTGTTGGCCCGGTTACTTGTTACTTATCGGCTAGCTCTGCCTTTAATTATTAACCCATTTCTGCTGATCTATGTATTTCTCTTACCAGGGAGCCGGCGGCATACTGCTTTCTTCAGACTCTCCATCTTGACTCCTCCTTACTACTTCCTATTTCCTCCTTGTCTCCTAGTCCCTCCTATCTTCCTTTCCTATTGGCCAACAGTGCTTTATTATTAACCAGTATGAGAAACATATATACATAATGGCATCTCCCATCAAAAATCTACTTGTCAACTGTTAGATCTCATCTTACTTAATGATCTACAATATGTGATCCAACAGGAAGCTGGCTTGGTTTTTTTCCCCCCTGATGGGTCTTCACTGTAGAATCCTTCCCCGCTCGGCACTGAGGACACTGTTTGATGCTCCTCGTCCTTCCTGGGCTCTCCTCCTTGGTGGATCTTTCATCTCCCTGTATTCTGCAAGCCCCGGGGAATCTGAAGACCCCTTCTCAATCCCCCTTCCTTTGGCCATGTGGGCTCTCCAGGCGAGGCAGTCAGGCCCACGGTTTAAGACTCCAAGATCATATCCGAGATGAGATCCAGGCTTGATCTCAGATGACATGACTGGGTTTTTTGTTTGTTTGTTTTTAACGTTTTCACTCCTTATTAAGGCAAATTTGTGAAAATATTGCCAGATCTGCTCATGAACTTTTTCCTTACATCTTAAATTTTGAGTGTGTGTGTGAGTGTGTGTGTGCCGAAGTTCAAGTGTGGAGATGAGGCTAATCTGTGGAAACTGGTTCTTTCCTTCTACCATTAACTGGGAACTGAACCCAACCCTCCCCTCCCCCTCCCCTCCCCCCCCCCCCTCTCCTCTCCCCCTCCCTTCCCTCCCCTTCCCCCCCTCCCCTCCCCTCTCCTAACCCTTCCCCTCCCCTCCCCTCTCCCCTCCCTTCACCTCCCCTCTCCCTTCCTTTCCTGAGACAGGGTGGCCTCAAACTCCCAATCCTCCCGCCTCTGCCTGCTGAGTCCTGTTGTAACTGGTGTGTGCCACCACAACTGCCTTATCAAACCCTTTTTGAGACACACACAATGGGCTGACAAGATGGCTCAGCTGGTAAACACTTGGTGCACAGTCATTCCACAAAGCTGCCTCAGACCCCCTGGCTGGAGCTGAGGCATGTGCAGGCCCCAACACACATTAGCATACACATGCATAATAATAATAAATCAAAGAAATTACAACAAGTGAGGATAAGGGCAGGGATGTGGGGTGAGGGAAACTGCTACTTTGTTAGCTAAGCTGAAAGTGAAATTAAATTAATAACTTAAAAAAAAAAAAAAGTCACACAGTCATTGAAAAGCCAGACCTTAAAAAAGGCGTGTAAGATCCCTCCTTCTGCTCCATACTGAAGTCCTGTAGCTACTACATAAGTTGCAAACTTTTTGGCCTAAAATGGAAAAAAAAGGGGGGGTATGGGGGGACAATTTATGTACCATTAGTCTTTTGAACTAGAACTAGACTTAGTAACTGCAATCATCACTGTTGCAGGCTCTTCCAAGTCTTCTGGACCCCATAGGCACTGCTTAGGACATAACCAGAATCCCAACAGGGGAACAGACAACTCCATGGAACTCAGAAATGTTTCCAACCACCATTGAAATTTAGTGGAGATCGGAGGGTGGTGACACACCGGATGGTGGTAACCCACACTTTAATCCCAGCACTTGGAAGGCAGAGGCAGGTAGATCTCTTGTGAGTTTGAAGCTAGTCTGGTCTACAGAGCTACTTGGAAAAAACGGTGTCTCAAAAAACTAAAAAAGAAAGAGAAAGAAATTTAGCAGAAAGGAATAAACTAAATTGAATCAAAGTTAACTATTTGTGGAAACAGCATCTATGGACTCTGTGCTGGGAAGGGGGGCTATGAAAATAGGTCCTCCTAGAAGGATCTTCAATTAACTATCAGAGTGGTCACATGATATGCAGCTCAGGACCAAGTGGGGTTTTATCTGTTTTGGTTTTAGACAAGGTCTTAAATAGCCCAGGCTGGCCTTGAACTCATTACTTCTGAAGATGACCCCTACTTCTTGAGTGTTGGGATTACAGGTGTGTACCACCACACCTAGTTTATGTGGTGCTGAGGCAAGCACTCTGCGGACTGAGCTATGGCCCAGACCCTGTACCAGGTCTCCATACAGGGCGTTTAACTAACATGGATGCTTTCACTTTCCCCAGGGGAGTCATTGTGGCCTTGTTGATATTTAGTTGCAACCAAAACCGACTTGGTGGCCTCCAGCTGCTCTGGAGACCAGGGTGGGAGGTTACTTGGGCCAATGCAGTAGACAGCCGGGGTGTCCCAACAGGACACAGAAAAACAACACAAAGCAAAATTTTCAAAGCCTAGAGCCTTAATGAATGGTTGGGACTTTTTTTCCCCCTAGATTGCTGACATATGGTCAAAGTACAAAAGATACAGTGACTTCTAGAAGTTTCTTTCAGCTCCCTAAAATATTTCTTCCCAGAGCTGGATGGACCCCAGATCATCAGGCATGCTTGCAAGTGCTCAGAGTTCAAACCCCACACCCGATTCCCCTGAAACTTTCACTCACAGGCTGTCCAGGATGCCCCAGCTCAGTGCAGAATTTCTGCAGTCTTTGCTTAATCACATTGGGAATGTATTCTCACTTCAGAGAGGTGTGTGTGTGCTCGCTCACTCATGTTTATCTGTGAGCACATGTGCATGAGGGAAGGAGGGGGGATGATTGCTGTCTTCCAGTAATCCATCAACAGTTGATCAGGGAGGTTGGGGAGGTAGGACACTGTTTTGTTATTCTTACTGTTATTGTGCTGAGTTGGAATGCAGGCCCCTATGTGTGGAAGAGGCAAATGCTCCACAAATGGGTACCTATATACCTCAGCACACATGTAGGTATCAGAGGTTAGTTCTCTGAAGTTGGTATCACCTGGTTCATACTTCAGGCTAGCTGGTTTGTACTCCAGGCTAGCTGGTTTGTACTCCAGGCTAGCTGGTTTGTACTGTACTCCAGGTCAGCTGGCCTGAGAGTCGCAGGAAAGTCTCTTCTCTTTCTTCCCGGCTCACAGAGTGCTAGAGTGAGATAGGCACCTCTGCACCCCATTTTGTGTGTGTGTGTGTGAGTCCAGGGGTCAAATGCACATTGTCAAGGTTACCCAGAAGCACATTTTTCTTCAGAGCCGTCTCTGAGGAGGGCTTGTGTCACCGTGCCATAGGATAGTTCTACAATGTCCTCCTAAGGTTTGGTACCAGGGTGGAGCTAAGGGGAGAGATGCTGGAGACTTCACAGGAAGGGGTCTTAGGTGGTTGAGGATTTGCCCCTGAAGGGGGTATTGGAGGCCTCTCTCCCTTACTCTCTTTCATACTCAGCCATGAGGGAAGCAACCCTCTCTCACTACATGCTCCTACCAAGGCATCCTACAGCACCATGCTGCCACAGGCTCAGAGCAACAGGGCCGGCTGGCCATGGGCTGGGACAGCTGAATGATGACGACAAACTGTTCCCCTTTATGACCCAGTGGACAAACAAGGCATGGAGGCTTAGGGCTCCGGCTTCTTGGGACCACAGCAGATAATGTGACTCCAGAAGACGTCCTAAACGTCATCCTGCAGACCTGCCAGCCTCTGCTAACCAGGGGCAGAGAGACTTTCCAGGCAGAGACTGGAGAATGGCTACGTTTAAAGGAGAGGGGCAGCTGTGGCACCGGCGTGGAGGGCGCAAAGCAGCCAGAAGCATGACGCAGAGGACAGACATCTTCAGCACGGGTGTGGTGGGGGCCACAGTGCTGAGAGATGCTCTGTTCACTCACCCGAGAGTCAAGGAAGGAATTGTTCCAGTTATATTTTAAACCGTCCAGGACTGGGGAGAGGGCTCAGTGGTTAAACCTTGTTAGCCAGGCATGAAGACCAGAGTTGGGATTCCCAGAACCCACATAAATGGTACATGGGTGTGGTGGCCCGGCTTCAATTACATCTTCCTCTGAAGGTGGAGACAGGGGACAGGGGATCCATCCCTGGAGCAGCTGGCTAGTGAGACACACACACACACACACACTGCATATACAGACATGCAGACAAAACATAAGCTCATAAACTAAAACTTAAACAGAGTTCACAATGAATTTTTATCATTTAGAGTTAAAGATGAGTTAATATGTTTACACAATAAAGGTATTGTTTTAAAAACAGAAAGTTGCCAGGCATGGTGACACACGCCTTTAATCCCAGTGTAAGGAGAAAAATAAAAAGACCCTAATTAAGTAAGGGACCCCTGGCTCTAGGCTATGCAATAGGAAGTCAGGAATGGTTCCCACAAGAAGAGGGAGCCTGAGCTCATCACCAACTGTGTAAACATCACTCCCCACCCCATTGTAGCCTCCTGGTCCTTCAGGTCATAAATCCCCCAGGCCCCAGGATGTCCTTAAAGAAACAGGGAACTAGATAACCTCTCCCACACCCCAGAATGTGTTAATCAACCCCACCAGACCAGAGGACAATTATAGCTCCTTTGCTAGGTAGCCTTTGTCTCTCAATTACCTTGCATGGAAACTTTGTAACCTTGTGCACTAAGAAATCTCTGTAACCGTGGAAATCTTATGATGTAAGATCAGGGGTCTCCCCACCCCTTTCCTATTCTTTCCTGTTCTTTGCTTTTAAAAATGCCTTGCATTTGTAGTTCGGAGCTACAACTCTTCTGACAGAGTGAAGCCCCAGCTAGCTGGTCTTTCTAAATAAACACTTTCTTGTGTTTGCATTCAGGCATCGCTGGCTCCTTGAAACTTTGGGGGGGGGTCTCTTGGTGGGCACCACACCAGCACTTGGGAGGCAGAGGCAGGAGGATCTTTGTGAGTTCCAAGAGAGCTAAGACTTTTATACAGAGAAACTCTGTCTCGAAAAACCAAATAAAGAAATAAAGAAAAATTTAAGACGCTATTTAGACATGGGAGTGAAGAAGACAATATCAAAAAAAAAAGTTGAAGAATATGAAGACACTATCGCTCCCCTTTAGACTATAGGCGCGCGCACGCACGCGTGTGTGTGTGTGTGTGTGTGTGTGTGTGTTAGAGAGAGATTATACATTTAGTGAATGAGACAAGTGAGTGATCAATAGGGTTAATGTTTTAACAAACAAACAACTTTAGCTGGAAGAAATTTAGATAATGGGATATATTCCCTTTGTTCTGTAGCTTGAGGTTATGTCTCATTGACAGAGCTTGGCCCAATCCCCAGCATCGCTTTTGCCACCAACTAGAATTTCTAGTTCTCTTCCGTTCTGCTTGGTGTTTTGTTGTTGCTGCTGCTGTTTTGAGAGTGGGTCCCACTATGTAGTCCTGGCTGTCCTGGTACTTGCTATGGAGAATTCAAAGAATTCCATCTTCCTCTGCCTCTGAGTGCTGGTATTAAAAGTGTGTGCCACCAGCCACCTTGGGCTTGTTTGTTTTTGAGTCAGAGGTCATACTTTGTAGCTCAGACTGGCCTTGAATGCACTATCCTCCTGCCTCAGCCTCCTGAGTGATGGAATTGCAGGCATGAGCCACCACCCCTGGCTTTCTGATGTTTTTGTATCTTGTGCTCACAATATTTGTACCACCGCATTCCACACAAATCAATGGGATTCTTAAGGGACAGCTGGATTTCTGAAAACCCTGTCGTTATATCTCATGCCACCACAAGGTGGCACTTCAGAGCTATTATCACTCATCACTTTGGAACCTTGGGTTTGGGAATAATGACTGCACAACTTGGCTCACAGATTTCTTAAGAGGACACATGACAGTCTGGAAGTTGACTTGGAACACCGTAGGTGAAATGTCCAGCACTTTGTGGGGGCAGACTCTTGAGCAAGCCTTACTTACTCATTAGAGGGCACTCACATCAACCATTTCAGTAAAAGATAAAATTGTAACACATGCCAAATGGCATATTTCCCTGTAATCATAGCTCTTTTTTTTTTTTTTTTTATGATGGTGGTGGTGCTTGGGTACTGAACCTGGATCCCTGCCCATGCCAGGCAAGCACTGAATTCTATTCCAGATCCATACTTCTTTCCTTTTTAAGATTTGTTTTTAATTATGTGAGTCCAGGTCTGGATGTGCTTTCTGGCTCTGGACGTGCTTTACAGTAAAAGTGGCACAATAGTGACATGCAGAGCATAGCAACCACCCTGGGTGGGCCTTTAGGCCATAGCAACCAGTTAACCAATCAACACAGGACAGGCTACCCAAGCCGGGAAGCATGCCAATCCTGAGACTGTTGAGTACCCCTAGACATTCCCCTTACACTGTCCAATAAGTTTCCTGCCTCACGGATTCTCTGGGTCCTTCTGGGTCCTTCTCTGGCTAGCCACTGTGTTGGAGGGATGAAGGGCCTAAGTTAATGCAGTTAGCTCATTAAACAACAATAAAAGACTCTTAGCTTTTGCATTGGAATGGGTCTCTTGGTAATTTGGGGGGAGGTCAGAATTTGGCCAAAACACAGGTTTCTGTTTCTTTATCGGTTTTTGTTGTTGTTTTGTTTATTTGTTTTCAAAACAGAGCCTCACTATGTAGCTTTGACTGTCCTGGAACTCACCATGTAAACCAGGCTGGCCTTGAACTCCTAGAGATCCATCTGCCTCTGTCTCTGCCTCTGCCTCCTTAGTGCTGGGGTTAAAGGCATGGACCACTATGGGCTTGTCTATTTGTTTTTGTTTGTTTGTTTGGGTTTTTTAATTGCTGTTTTGTTTTTTGTTTTTTGAGACAGGGTTTCTTTGTGTAGCTTTGGAGCCTGCCCTGAACTTGCTCTGTAGACCAGGCTGGCCTCGAATTTACAGAGATCCGCCTGCCTCTGCCTCTGCCTCCTGAGTCAAGTGCTGGGTTTAAAGACATGTGCCTCCACCACCCAGCCTTCTCTCTTTATTTGTAAGAGGGCTGATTACACTTTTCAGAGCTATTTGACTAAAAATATTGAGACAGATTCTGGGAACCAAGAGCATGCGGCCCCTCCCTTCCCATTGCCAGACCCCTTGGTGGGGCAGTCTGGGTTGAGCTGGGAGCCCAACACAGGGCCTTTGGGTCTGGGGGATGAATCATAATCTGGGCCAGGGACTCTCTAAGGATGGAATACATTGCTCCAACCAGAAGCTAGGATCCGTGGGGAAGTATGGGGAACTAAACCATGGTGTTTACAGCATTGTCATGTGCTCTGGCCGTACAAAACAGCCCTGGAAAGGGAGCAGGGCTGAGTATGCAGAGGAGGAAGTTGCCCCGGCGCCCGGCCTCACAAAGAACCCTTCCCACCCCACAATGTCCCGTGTGTCCAGACTTACGTTTTTTCCAAACTTGAGAACTATCTTTTCTGCATTGATGTGGTCCAGAAAGTTAGGGTGATGCTTTCTTCTTCGATAATCCTCTTCTGTGAAGGGAACCTCAGTGTCGTCCTAAGGGAGACACGAGGCCCAGGTCTAGAGTCAAGGGTGCTGCATTGTTCCTCCAGGCCCAGCAGAAGCTCAACTCTACCTGGTTCCCAAGAATGAAACCCGCATTTCCAAACAGCATAGAGGACCCCAGGCAGCACCCACATCAGAAAGTGATAAACATTTTCTGTGATGAACATAACAAGGACTCTGTAATATACTCTATGGACACATGTAACTAGTGTGTGCCAACTGAAACATAAAACATTCACACACACACACACACACACACACACACACACAATGCTGGGCCTCTAGGCCTGTGTGGGGGTGGGCCTTGCTCATCATGTCTGGGTTGACCTTTGGGATGAGCAGGAAAGTCACTTTGATGTGACCTCAGAACAAATGAAAACAAGACCCTCAGGGGTTCTTGACTGTCCACGGTCGGCTGCAGACACCAAAGGAAATCATGGGCATGGCTGTGGGCTCTGGTAGCAGATGTGATGTAGCTTTGGGACATAGCCCGGCAATCAGCCTTTCTATTGTTTACGGCTGTGTAGTGAATGTTAGCAAGACTGCTTGTTGTAAACCAAAGGGCAAACTGAAGCTCTGTGTATACTAAATGTTAGCATCCGGGCACACCCTGGCCCCGACCCTTGGGGGGGCCTGGAAGAGTGCCTCACCCCTTCACGCTTGGCAAGCGGTACCCTGGCTCTGTAGGCAGCCACAAAAGGTCCCTTTAAGAGATGAGCTCTGCCTACTTCCTCTCTCTCTCTCTCTCTCTCTCTCTCTCTCTCTCTCTGCCATTCCTCTCAGGGGGCAGGCTGATCTCTGTCTCTGTCTCTCTCTCCCTCTCTTCCCCTCCCCTTCTCCTTTCTACCTTCCCTTTCCCCAGTAAAACTTCCCATGTGAGTTCTGCCTGCATGGCTTATTTGTCTCTCACCTGCCAAGGGATTCACCAAGGTCCCCCTTGCTCCACATAACACTAACAAAATGGAGGCCTTTTATCTGTTTGTTTTTTGACATGGTCTCAGGTTGCCCAGGCTGGCTTTGCATTTGATAAGTACCCAAAGGAAGTTTACCCTGAACTTCTGATCCTATTGCCTCTAGCAAGAGCTAAAGTTTAACCTACAAGCGTCATTTGCTGGAGGACAGGCAATTTCCTGGAATACTGAGGGCTGTTGCTCATGCAGGCTAACAGGTTACATTTTCACTTCAGTGAACGAGGTTGGTTGCCCCAAGTGCACAGGATGTGCTTTGCTTGGTCACATGTAGGTGGGAGGTGCCTAGGCAGGAAGTACAACAGGATGTATGCTTGTCCCTGATTCGAGGACTACGGGAAGGAAGACAGTGATGGAAAGCCTTGTGGGTTCTGCCTTTATGAACACCTGACTAAAATAACTCAATGCCATTCTGTGGGAGTCCCGGGCATGGGCCTGGCCTGTTTATCCTCCTGGCCAGTGTTTGATAAGCTTGCTTCAGCTGGACAATTGTGGATTTGGTCTTTCTCCTGGAAATTTTCAGATTTAACACCCCCACTTCCTCAAGCCTGGGATTACAGGATTACATGGAACACCATGCCCAGTTTACACTAGCTGTGTATCAGTTCTCATCTTCCACCCAGTTTGAAAAAAGACCTCTTTGTTTTTGTTTTTTTGTTGATGAGCATCCAAGCTAGGGACCGCTCAAGCTTCCGGGGGCTTTCTTGTCTACACAGAAGCTCCGAGATGACTGGTGTTCTCACTGTGTGTTTGTCGTTAATGGGTTCTAAAGATTTAAGGTCAGGAACCGCTGCAAGCACCTTTGCTCACTGACCGATGCCCTGAGCCAGGACCCACGCTTTTTAAGCATCCAAGCAGCAAGTTCTGAATTGCAGTGTAACAAGGCTGTCATAGACCACTGAATTTACAATGTAAAGAATGGAATCCTCCACTAGGTGGAGACAAACCTTTGTTTCCCGGTTAATCCAATGGGACAGTTAAAGGACCCACTTCACCTGAAGACAATCTGGAGTCCTCACTGTCCAGTGCAGTCCCCGCGAGCCCGGGACACCCTGAGGTTTGGCTGGGCATGCCTGCTAGTTCTTTTTCTTCTCTTCTCTCAGTCGCTGGCCAGAAGCGAAGGATGCTTTCTTGGCTCCTAATCAGCACTTAGGCTTTGTCCTCACTTGGCGCCTGCCAGCAGGCAGCTACCTTCCTTCCATGTTGCCCCATCTCAAGCAGCTTGGCTTTGGTCCTTTTCTTTACCACTTTCCTCCTGCCTTTGGGGCAGCTGTGAGGCTTATAGTTTGCTCACCCTGGGGTTTTCCTTTTAAACTAACATACTGTCCCCAATACTTCTGTTTGTGTCCTCTCTGAAATCAAATCCTTTTATTAATGAACTTCAACAGGGAACTCATCTTCCAGGTCTCATATGATGGCTCTGTTGGGACTCCCCAAGATCTCCAGCAACTCTTCTTTCCTTCCCTTTGATGCTTTGATTGGCAGATAAATAAACCCATTCCTGCACCCCCTAGATGGCATCAACAGTAGGCAGCAGCCATCCGGCAAATCTCATAGTCAGGGACGCTGACAACTGAGCTAGAAAGTTGCCATGGATACAGAGAGAGCTAGATGAGCTATTGGATGATGAGTTAAGAGCATTGGCTAATAAACTGCTGGATGGATGGGTAGATGGGATGGGATGGGTGTGGTATACGTATGTTTATATGTATGTATGGGTGAATGGGGTGAGTATTGTGTGTGTGTGTATGTGTGTGTGTATGTATGTATGTATGTGTTGGTGGGTGGATGGTAGATGGAAGGACAGATGGATAGATGGGAATGGGACTGGGGCAAACCCAGTATTGGTGATTCTCATAGGAGAAATACAGACAAAATTAGTTTGTGAAGGATGATGTAGCTGCTCCATCATTCTGTGTACATGACAGATCCTGGACAAATTACATATTACATGATTGACTGTCCTTTTATACCCATGTGACTAACCCACAGACAGGGTTGCCAGATTAAAAAGAAATAAATAGGACATCCAGGATAGACAAATGAATACATTTTTAGAGTATGTACCCTGAAAAAAAGTATTTGTGCTATAATGGGAGATGTCATTCTGTAAATATGTTTCTCTTATTGGTTAATGAATAAAGCACTGTTGGCCAATAGGGAAGGATGATAGGAGGGACTAGGAGACAAGGAGGAAAGAGGAAGTAGTAGGGAGGAGTCAGCATGTAGAGACATGAGAGAGCAGAATGCCAGCCCCTCTCTCAGGTAAGATGAGACCACGTGGAAACACTTAGATTAATAGAAATGGGTTAATAATTAAGACAGAGCTAGCTGATAAGTAACAAGTAACTGGCCAACAGAATTATATCTAATACAGTGTTTCAGTGTGATATTTGGGGCTGGCGTGGCGGTGGGACCAGACTGACCTGTGGGGAAAACCACTCGAAACAGTGCTAAAACTTAGTTACTACTTATCAGCTTAAATGGAATTGACTGCTCTTGGCTAGCTAGTTATTAGTTGTGACAACTAGAATCTGTCAATCATTCTTGTTCTGACAATTTAGCTGAGTTAGCATCATCTCTTGTTTCTTTACTCACCCACAGAACATAACTTTATGTCATAAAAAACAAATAGGGGGCCAGTAAAGACAGCTTTGCAAGTGAAGGTACCTTCTGCCAAGTCTAATGATCAGAGTCCTGCAAATGCATCTTGTAATTAATAGCTTATCAGTATGGAAAGCCAAGAATCACTGTCAGTGCTTGTGTGTGTGTGTGTGTGAGAGAGAGAGACCCTGCACACAGTGCTTGTGTGTGTGTGTGTGAGAGAGAGAGAGAGAGAGGGAACCTGCACACCATTCACATTGTTGTGATGGCTGAGGAAACTCTGTTTTACACTAGGTATCCATCTTGGTCCCAAATAACTGTTTGTCTCAAGTTCAAGTCACCAGAAGGTAAGTTCCTATTAACCCTCATAATGACTCCCCAACCCCAGAAATATGCAGCCCTTACCATTTACTTGTTATGACATGACTGATTTTTTTTTTTTTTTTTTTTTTGCTTCTATAACCTGCTTATGCTGACCTTCAGGGACTATTTTGAGGTCACCTTGACTATCTGACCTTGGCAGAGCAGGATAGCCCTGGCTAGCTTGTGTAGTCAATCAGGTGCTTTTTGTGGTTTTCACCTTTAAAAATCCTTCCCTCACCTGCCTTAGAGACGTGGCAGCCTCTAGTTTGACTCAGAGATTGCTGTCCTGCTAGTGGTATCAATAAACTTAACTAATTATAATCCGGATTGTGTCTGTGGTCTTTTCCATGGGCAGGTGGCGTCTCAAACTCCATAACATTGTCATCTCTTCAGATGGAGCCGGGACTATTCATACCAACTGTTGCACCTTGAAAAGGCTATCACACAGCCACAAAGGCTCTGGGACAGCAGCAAATGACCACTGAGAAGGCACACTTTTGGTCACAATGTAGTAACTGTCATCGGTGGGTACGTACGACACCTTATTTGGCCCGCTGTGCTGTTCTCAGTGGCCTTACTTCCAGCCACGTTGCACAGCCCCTCAGGGAATGCACTACGCTGTGACTTCAGGAGGGCTGCAGTGTCATAGGGCAATAAGAACGTCAGCTCCAATATAACTGTGAAGGTTCGTCTTCATTGTCGGTTTAACCGTATTTGGAGTCACCTGGGAGAGCCACTATGGGGCAAAGCCGTGAGAGCATTTCCAGAGAACTAGTTGAGGAAGGAAGAGCCACCAGGATGGGGTCCCTGACTGAATAAAAAAGAGAAAACGAGCTGAGCATCAGCATCCGTCTTTCTCTCTGCTTCCAGACGGCAGACACAATGACCGCCACCTCACACTCCAACACTCCATGATGGTTCGTAACACTTCAGTGAGGCAAGACAAATCTACTCCTTCTGCCAGGCGTGGTGGTACACACCCTTCATCTCAGCTCTAGGGAAGCAGAGGCCAGACTGGTCTGTATAACAATTCCAGGCCAGCCAGAGTAGATAGCCAGAGCCTGTCTCAAAACAAAAACAAAACAAAACAAAAAACAAAAAAACAAACAGCCCGGTGGAGGTGGCTCACATCTTTAATCCCAGCACTAGAGAGGCAGAGGCAGGTGGATTTCTGTTGAGTTTGGTGCCATTTTGGGCTACAAAGTAAGTTCCAGGACAGGCTCCAAAGTAATACAGAGAAACCCTGTCTTGAAAAACACCAAAACAAAACAACAACCAAAAAACCTTCCTCAACCTGCTTCTGTTAGACATTCTGTCTGAGCAATAAGAAAGGTAACCTTTTTGGACCCTTATCATGACATGGTCAGGCCTTGACCAAAGCCTTGTTGTGTAGCACCATTGTCTACCAGGCAGCATTTTAAAGTTGGTGGTGGTTGTAGCTGGGGATGTAGCTTGGTGGCAGAGTGCTTGTCTGGCATGCACAAAGTCCTTGGTTTGAGCCTTAGCGTCACATAAAAACTGAGTATATGGCCATGAATGCCTGGGATCCCAGCTTTCTAGGTATAGCAATAGATGGATCTAAAGTTAAAGCCATCCTTGGCTATGTAGTGAGTTTGAGGCCAGCCTGGACTATATGAGGTGCGGTCTCAGAAAACAAAACAATACACACAAGAACCACCAAGCCTTGGAGGTATACGAAATAGTGAACTCCCCTAGATTTGAATGTAGTTAGAGTTGAGATGCTTGAAATGGGGTGAGGTTCAGCAGTGTAGGGATACACAGCTCACTGTGAAGAAAGGCTAGCAGTCCACTCACAGGGTCCAGAGGTTTGGATCTCGCCCACGTCATCACCGTCGACAGCAAAATGAACACCTTCCTCTTTTCAAAATGGACAATTTCTTCATTCAATGCTGTGGGGCCAAAACGTAGGGCAGTCATTTGAATCCATATAAGAGGGTTTTTGCTTTGTTTTAAGTATTTTAATTCTATTTTTAATATGTATGTGTCTTGGATGTGGGTATAGCCATGTGACTGGAGGTGCCAGCAGACCTCAGAGGTATCAAATCCCCCAGAGCTGGACTTACAAGTGGCTGGGAGCTGCCCAAAATGAGTGTTGGGGCCTCTGCAGAAGGCTGCGCATCAGAGGGCACAGAAGGCCATTTCTGTGGCTTAGGCTTCAGGTGTGGATGTAATTTAGGATGTATCTTCCCTTCACATTGCAGCTGGCTTGGGGGTTGGGAGTAGGGGCTCTGCTTCGGGGGCCCAAGGGCCAGGTGTAATTGCAGGTTATGGACCATGAGTGATGGGTGTGTCCAGCAGACATGCACAAAGGGCAGTGATCATGTCTCAAGCTCCATGGAGCCTGCCAGAGTCGGGGCTGTGGTTGCACTGAAGTAGTCTTGCTATTGGATGATTTCTCTGAGGTACCGTGGCGGCAGGACAGAGGGTCCTTGGAGCATCAGGCACACTTGCAATCCTGTTAGGTGACTCCTTACACAATAGCACACTGAGGTGCTGGTGTCCCTGCAAGGGGAATTCAGGGACTCGCCCTCAGAGGGGAAAGCGTGACTGAACTCAGCCTGAGGACACTGTGCCACTTTCGTTCACGCTAATCCCAATTTCAGTCGTTACTTTGACATTTGCTTGTTTTTTATTCTAGTAAGAACTTTCCCATTTAGTTCTGTTCTTTCGACTTTTCCTCTCTGCTGTGCTTTACTTTGGCCTGTTTTGTGAATGTGTGCCACATTTCTAGGGCTCTAACTGGGTCACCTTTTTAATGTGTGACATTTATAATAGGTTGAATATGCTCTGCCTGACATCCCCCCCCACCCCCGTAGAAGCACAGCTTGCATGCAAATATTTTCCCCTCACTGCCAAGAGTCCATTCCTTCCCCCTGAGCCATCTTGCCTTCCTTTTGCAGTATCCGTGAAAGGTGAGGTAGAAGAATTCTAAGACATTTCAAAACAATGCAGTGTTGGTTAAAAGCAGCATTCCTTACCGAGGATCGCCTTTTTTTTCCTTTCCCTGTTCTCTAGTCTGACTTCCAACTAGCTGTGTAGCAAAGGAGGACCTTGAACTTCTGATTCTGTCTCCACCCGCAAAGTGCTAGGGTTGAGGATGTGCACCACCATCATGCCTGGTCTAAGTCCTGCTGGGGACTGAATCCCTGTTAGGCAAGTACTCATTAGAGCCACATCTCCAACTCTGCAGTCTGTCTTTTCTATCCTTGCCCCTACCTGTCTTCCTTCCTTCCTTCCTTCCTTCCTTCCCTTTTTTCTTTTTTTGCTGTTTTTATCAGTTTGGTCATGTAGGCAGCTTGGTTTCAGAATCTCACTCTGTTGTGGGATATTTGTACACATGTGAAGATGCATTGCTGTGACTGACGTAATAAAGAGCTGCATGGCCAATAACTAGGCAGCGAGACCAGGCAGGGTTTCCAGGGAGATGGAGGAAGAGGAATCTAGGCATGAGAATTACACCAGGAGATGTCTACGAGACAGAGAGGAAGTCGGACATACAGAATGAAAGAAAGGTCAAAAGCCATATGTTAAAATGTAGATTAATAGAAGCAGTTTCCTTTAAGTTATTAGAGCTATCGGGACAAACATAAACTAAGGCAGAGCCTTCACAATAAATATCTTCATGTTGTCATTTGTGAGCTGGTGGTGTAAAGAAAAGTTCAGCTGTACAATACTCCCACCTCGTCGTCCTGGGTACCACATCAGGAATTAAGAATATATATTTAGGTGCTGGGGAGGGGTCTCAGCAGTTGATTAAGAACATGTGCTGTGCCAGTACAAGACCTAAGTTCAGTTCTCATTGTTCCCAACGTCAGTGGCTCTCTACTTCCTGTAACTCCAGTTCCAGGAGACATGATGCCTTCTTCTGGTCTCTGTGGACACACACACACACACACACACACACACACACACACACACACACACACACACACACACGCACACACACACATTTTTTCCCCAAAGAATATACATTCGATTTAAGAAAAACAAGATCTGGCCAGGTGATGGTGGCACACGCCTTTAATCCCAGCACTCAGGAGACAGAGGCAGGTGGATCTCTGTGAGTTTGAGTCCAGTCTGGTCTACAGTGTTAGTTTCTGGACAGCCAGGGCTGTTACACAGAGAAACCCTGTCTTAAAAACAAACAAACAAACAAACAAAAACCCAAGAAAGAAAACGTATACTGGGTAAAATGACGAAGGCCCTGACTGCACTCTCTAGCTCACTCACCACAGTGGCCAAGTGACTGTGCCAACAGAACGAAGTGGATCTGACTATATTTTCTTGCACAGAAACATTTTACCTCACAAGCCATACACTGTAGTTAAACTGTTTCCTCCAAGAAGTGAAGTTTTCTTAAAGAAATAAGAAAGAAAGAAAGAAAGAAAGAAAGAAAGAGAGAAAGAAAGGAAGAAATGAGATTTGCACTACACTTAAATCCCAGCAGAACCAGTGCAATGCCCCAGTTTGAGAAATGTTTACTTTTCCTGGAGGAGTCATGGGGTCACCCTCTAATGGGCTGATCTGTCACAGCTTAAAGTCTATGTTTAAGGTCTAAAATCCACAGCCAAGGGCCATCTGGCTGGAGCAGGCGAGCATGGGAAATAGTTTAGTACCAAGGGCACCTCTAGGCTTAGACATACACATACCCTCTTCCAAGAAAGCATTCGGTAGCCTGAGACTCTTAGCTGCATGAACTACCCACACTCCCCCCTCTCCAGACAAAGCTTCTAGCAACCTGATGGCAGCTTATAACTCCTCCCTACACCAGACTGCACATACACGCTTTAAACAATGGACAGAAGTTACTCCTCTTAGTGACCCTCAAATGATGGCTCATGCCTCTTTAAACATGTCCCAGATCATATCTTGAAACCAAGAAAAAAATGGGCAGATCTAGGCTGAAACTTTATTTCTTTATTTTTTATTTTTGTTTTTTCGAGACAGGGTGTCTCTGTGGTTTTGGAACCTGTCCTGGAACTAGCTCTTGTGGACCAGGCTGATCTGGAACTCACAGAGATCCATTCTGCCTCCAGAGTGCTGGGATTAAAGGCGTGAGCCACCACTGCCAGGCAAGGCTGAAACTTTAAATACACACACACACACACACACACACACACACACACACCTAACTGCAGAAGACAGAAGAAAGTCTGTGAGAGTTAGTTTTCTGCTTCACTCACATGGGCCTTGGGTAAGGAATTCTAGTTGTCAGGCTTGGTGGCCTGAGCCATCTCACCAGTCCCTGAACTTGCTTTGTATGATAATACAATGAGGCAAACTGTGTCCTTGGAGTCTCCTATTCTTTTAGAATAGGAGTCTCCTATTCACAGCCTGTATGCCTGTGAATAACTGGGCATGTATACGACCAAAATCAAATGTATCATGGGAAGGGGGATGCACAGTGAGTTACAGAGCTTAAATTTGTGATTTCTTTCTCAGCCCCTTTATTGTCTGTATATAGTAGGGCAACTGATTTTTTTTTTTTTTAGTTAATCTTGTATGCTGATAATTTGCTGAATGTGTTTATCAGCTGTAGGAGTTCCCTGGTAGAGTTTTTTGGGGTCGCTTATGTAAACTATCATATCACCTGCAAATAGTGACAGCTTGACTTCTTCCTTTCCTAACTGTACTCCCTTGATCTCCGTTAGCTGTCATCACCCTCTACAACAGCCACAAACAACATAAAGTATCTTGGGGTAACATAACGCTTACCAAACAAGTGAAAGATCTATATAGCAAGAACTTTGTGTCTTTAAAGAAAAAATTAAAGAAGATACCAGAAAATGGAGAGATCTTCCATGCTCTTGGATAATAGGTAGAATAAACATAGTAAAAATGGCAATCTTGCCAAAAGTAATCTACAAATTCAATGCAATCCCCATCAAAATCCCAGCACAATTCTTCACAGACCTTGAAAGGATAATACTCAACTTATATGGAAAAACAAAAGACCCAGGATAGCCAAAACAACCCTGTACAATAAAGGAACTTCAGGAGGCATCACCATCCCTGACTTCAAGCTCTACTACAGAGCTATAGTCCTGAAAACAGTTTGGTATTGGCACAATAATAGACAGGTAGACCAATGGAATCTAATCGAAAATCCTGATATTAACCCACACACCTACGAACACCTGATTTTTGACAAAACAGCTAAAATTATAAAATGGGAGGCGGAAAGCATCTTCAACAAATGGTTCTGGCACAACTGGATGATGGTGTGTAGAAGACTGCGGATAGACCCATGTCTATCGCCATGCACAAAACTCAAGTCCAAATGGATCAAAGACTTCAACATAAATCCAGCCACACTGAACATTTTTAGAAGAGAAAGTGGGAGGTACCCTTGAACAAATTGGTACAGAAGACCAATTCCTGAACATAACTGCAGTAGCACAGAAAATGAGATCAACAATTAATAAATGGAACCTCCTCAAACTGAGCAGCTTCTGTAAGACAAAGGACACAGTTGACAAGACAAAACAGCAGCCCACAGACTGGGAAAAGATCTTCACCAACGCCACATCTGACAGAGGGCTGATCTCCAAAATATACAAAGAACTCCAGAAACTAGTCACCAAAACACCAAATAACCACATTAAAAAGTGGGGTACAGAACTGAAGAGAGAATTCTCAATGGAGGAATCCAAAATGGCTGAAAGACACTTAAGAAAGTACTCAACATCCTTAGCCATCAGAGAAAAGCAAATCAAAACAACTCTTAGATACCATCTTACTCCTGTCAGAATGGCTAAAATTAGAAACAGCAATGACAGCTTATGCTGGAGAGGATGTGGAGAAAGGGGAACACTCCTCCACTGCTGGTGGGAGTGCAAACTTGTACAGACATTTTGGAGATCAGTATGGTGAGTCCTCAGGACCCAGCAATCCCACTCTTAGGCATATACCCAAATGATCCACATCTACACAACAAGGACATCTGTTCAACTATATTCATAGCAGCATTATTTGTAATAGCAAGAACCTGAAAGCAACCTAGATGCCCCTCAACTGAAGAATGGATAAAGAAGATGTGGCACATTTACACAATGGAATACTACTCGGAGGAACAAAAAAAAAAAAAAAAAAAAAAAAAAAAAAATGGAATCTTGAAATTCACAGGCAAATGGATGGAACTTGATGAAACCATCCTGAATGAGGTAACCCAGTCACAAAAAGAGGAACATGGTATGTACTCACTCATATATGGATTTTAAACAAAGAGCAAAGGATCACCAGCTTATAATACACACTGCCAGAGAAACTAGGATACAAGGAGGATCCTAAGAGATTCATACAAGGTCCCTCACAGAAGGGGAAAGGGACAAGATCTCCTGAGCATATTGGGAGTGGGTGGGGGCAGTGAGTGGAGAGGGAGTTAGGAGAAAGAGGAGACGAAGAGAGGAGAATACGTGGGACCAGGAAGATTGATTGAGTCAGGGGACAAATAGATGACAGTGAAAAAAAGAGATACCATAATAAAGGGAGCCATTATAGGACTGAATAGAAAACTGATTCTAGAGACATGTCCAAAGACCTACAAGACTAACCCCAACTAACAATCTGAGCAACAGTGGAGAGGCTATCATAAATGCCTTTCCCTGTTAATGAGATGATGACTAGCGTATATGCCATCATGGAGCCCTCATCTAGCAGCTGATGGAAAGAGAAGCAGACACCCACAGCTAAACATTGAGCCAAACTCCTGGAATCCAGTTGCAGAGAGGGAGGAGTGATGAGCAAAGGGGTCAAGACCAGACTGGAGAAACCCACAGAGACAGCTGACGTGAACAAGGGGGAGCTCATTGACCCCCAGACTGATAGCTGGGAAACCAGCATTATACCAACTCAGACCCCCTGAACATGGGTCTCAGTTAGAAGGCCTGGGCAGACTAAGGGACCTCTGACAGTGGAACCAGGATGTATCCTTGGTGGACAAAAGGAATTTGGGAGCACATTCCCCATGGAGGACTACTCCCTTAGCCTAGAGGCATGGGGGAGGGCCTAGACCCTCCTACTCCAAATGACTTGACAGATTTTGATGATCCCTCCTGGAAGGCATCACCCTCCCTGTGCAGTGTGTGTGTGTGTGTGTGTGTGTGGGGTGGGTTGGGAGGAGGGGTCAGGGAGCATGGGGGCGAGAGGGAACTGGGATTGATATGTAAAATAAGAAAAAATAATAAAAAACAAAACAAAACAAAAAAACCAGAGCTTATATCTGTCAATCAAAATAGAGAATCAACCTCACCATGTCCCTTAGTAACCAAACACCTCTTTCTCTTGAACCTCATAAAAGAAAAAGCCCCAATTGGGCTGGAGAGATACCTCAGAGGTTAAGAGCACTGACTGCTATTCCAGAGGTTCTGAGTTCAATTCCCAGCAACTACATGGTGGCTCACAACCATCTGTAGTGTGATCTGGCACCCTCTTCTAGCATGCAGACACACATGAAGGCAGAATGCTGTATACATAAATAAATAAATAAATAAAAAAGAAAGCCCCAATCAATAATTAGGGCCCTTGAATAATTCACTTATGTGGCCCAGTGTCACTCTTTTCTTTAAAGAAAATATTTATGTTATGTGTGCAAGTGTCTTGCCTGCACGGATGCGGGTCCATTTGCATGATGTGGGAGGAGGCCAGAAGGAAGGACTGGAGGGTGGCTCAATGGTTAAGCGCCTGCCACCCTGACTGCCCCATCATAACGAACTGTACCTTAAACTAAGCCAGAACAAACTCTTCTTCTCCAAGCTTTGGAGTCTGTCCTGGGACTCTCTCTGTAGATCAGGCTGTCCTTGAACTCATAGAGATCCGCCTGCCTTTGCCTCCCGAATGCTGGGATTACAGGTGTGCCCACCACTATCTGGCTGCCAGGGTGTTTTTAATCGCAGCAGCAGCAGCAGCAGCAACAGAAAAAACAAAACAAAAAGACAAAACAAAAAAAAAAAAAACAAAAAAACAAACAAACAAAAAAACTAAGACACCGAACTACACCTTAAGACTCGCAATAAAACACCACCAGACTTCTGAGGTTCTACCCACAGGTGCCTTCACTCGCACCCGCTTCAAACTTTAGGTATTTCTCAGACCTCTTCTGTGCTCCTCAAAGTGGTGGCTGTGCATAAACAGTGCCTCTTAAGATTATAAAGGGTTAACCGGGATGTGGGATTATGGTGTTTTCCATCCCCAGTGGTTCCTCATAGCTCACTGACCAGAGACTGCCCACACGGCTTCCCTCCACTTGCTTCGAATTTTCGGTGATGTTATAGATGATAACATCACACTCCAGCAGATGTGTGAGGAGGTCTTCTCGGGAGATAGCCTGAAGAGAAAAGCAACAGTCCCTTTGCATTAACATGTCAACAAGGGAACCTGGACATCTAGATGGACTGACAGCCTCTGAATTACATCTGTCCACCCCAAGAGACCCCATAGGGAGCATTTGTAGAGGTGTTTCTATTAAAATGAATTACAAGTAGCAAAGACATCATTGAAAACAGCCTGGAGTGGGTGGTCTTAAAAACTGCAAAACATAGCCGGGTGTTTGTGGTGCATACCTTTAATCCCAGCACTCAGGAGGCAGAGGTAGGCGGATCTCCGTGACTTCGTGGTCAGCCTGGTCTATAGAGCTAGTTCCAGGACAGGCTCCAAAGCTACCTGTCTCGTAAAACCAAAAACCAAAACCAAACCAAAACAACAACAAACAAAACCCCTGCAAAACATGGGCTGGGGAGATGCATCAGTCAGTAAAGCCTTGCAAACATGAGGACCCGAGTTTAGTTTGCAGAATTTAATAAAAATGAAGTCTGGCTGGTGTGGCTCCCATTTGCACAGCTGGGGAGGTGGAAGCCGGAAGAGGTTCCTGGGGCTGCCTCACCAGCCAGCCCTAGCCTCCTGGGTAAGCAGGCCAAGGAGACACTGTCTCTCAGTAGGAAGACACTCAATGCTGTCTTCCAGTTTCCACACAGGTATGCGTGTGCACATGTTTCTCCAGCCCCTTTCTGGTCCCTTTGTATTCATCTACTGTAGTTTGCTTGGGTGCAAGAAGACACTGAGTGTCTTAAATAACAGACATGTGCTACCACTGTCGTAGGGGCATTACAGTTCATTATCACAAGCAGTGAGGGCAGGAACTCACACAGGGCAGGAACCTGGAGGCAGAGCTGATGCAGCGGCCATGGAGGATGCTGCTTTCTGGTTTGCTCTCCATGGCTTGATTAGTCTGCTGTCTTAAAAAAAAAAAATTGCTCTAACTTTATTTTAAGTGCATTGGTGTGAAGGTGTCAGATCCCCTAGAACTGGAGTTATAGACAGTTGTGAGCTTTCCATGTGGGTGCTGGGAACCCAACCCAGGTCCTCTGGAAGGGCAGCCAGTGCTCTTAACCACCCAGCAATTTCTCCAGCCCCCTCAGCCTGCTTTCTTATAGAACCCTGGACCACCTGCGCAGGGATGACTCCACCCACAATGGGCTGGGCTCTCCCATCAATCACTAATTGAGAAAATGCAGGCTTGTGTACGTCCTGATTTTATGGCTGTATTTTCTTAATTAAGGTTCCCTTCTCTCAGATGACCTCAGCTCAAGTCAAGCTGACATAAAATCATCTAGCCCAAACACCATCTAGAGTAGTGGTTCTCCTCTGGGATTCAAATAGCCCTTTCACAGAGGTTACCAAAGACTATCAGAAAACATATATGGCTGGACGGTGGTGGTCCACGCCTTTAATCCCAGCACTTGGGAGGCAGAGACAGCAAGGAGGAGCTCTGTGAGTTTGAAGCCAGCCTGGTCTACAGAATGAGTTCCAGCACAGGTTCCAAAGCCTCACAGAGAAACCCTGCCCCAAATATGTATATACATTCCCAACAGTAGCAAAATTACAGTTACGAAGTAGCAACAGAAATAAGGAGGAGCTGTATTAAAGGGTCACAGTATCAGGAAGGTTGTGAACCTTTCCCTCTCCTTTAGCTCCCAGCCAGTGATGGCAAGGGCTGCTATTGTGTAGCTAGGAAGAGACAAGGCTCCCATCTCTGTCTTGATGTTCTCGCTGTATGTCCCCCCTGTGTGCTCCCACCTTGTACATACAGCCCAGAAAAAGACCCTTTAAGAGACCAATGTCGTAAGCTGAGTTGTCTCCCCTCCCTGAAAGGATATTTTCCTCAGTCAATGTTGTGGTAAAGAGACACCATGGCCAAGACAACTTATAAAAGGAAGCATTTAACCAGGAGCTTGCAGTTTCGGAGGGCCAGAGTCCTTATCCATCAAGATGGAGAGCACAGCAGCAAGCAGGCAGCCACCGTGCTAGAGCAAGCTCTGAGAGCTTAGGTCTGGGCCACAAGCAGGAGGCAGAGTGAAAGACCCCGGACCTGGTGTGGATTTTTGAAACCTCGAATCCCACCCCCCAGTGACACACCTCCTTCAACAAGGCCACAGCTCCTAATCCTTCCCAGACAGTTGCACCAACTGGGGACCAAGCATTCAGATATGTGAGCCTAGGGAGTCCACTCTCATTCAAACCTCCACAGATGCGTTTGCCCTCCTAATTTCTAGAACCCCAGTCTGTGACATTTGAAGACAGGGTCTTTGTTACGGTCTACGTTTAGGATGGCTCGATGGGCTCACATATGTGAATACTGGCCCTCGTTTGTACTCACTGTCCCTGAACTTGTGATTCATCTGTCTTTACCTCCCAAGAGCTGGGGGGACAGGTGTGAGCTCCCACGACCAGCTGCAGTACAGGTCTTGATAATACTTTTCTTGTATTTTGTAACTGCCGTAGGTAATGGGTTATTTTTTTTTTTCTTTTAAGGGTATTTTCTTAAGATTTATTTATTCATTTATTTATTCATTAAGTATACAGTGTTCTGCCTGCACGTATGCCTGCAGGCCAGAAGAGGGTACCAGATCTCATAATAGATGGTTGTGACCCACCATGTGGTTGCTGGGAATCGAACTCGGGACCTCTGGAAGAGCAGCCATTGCTCTTAACCATTGAGCCATCTCTCCAGCCCCAGTGGGTTAAATCTTGAGGCACAAACAGGTTATGAGGTACACAGAGCTCTGTGGTGGGTTCAGAGAGGTATTGGGCCAGGTGGAGGGAGAGTTAGTCTGGGAGAGGGGGCTCCTTCTGTACCCCTCTTTCTAGGAGTACAGAAATGTCTCCCAGTGAGGACAGGGACTAGTTTGGCAGGTGGAGATAGCACAGCCGCTCAACAGGCAGCAGGAAGGCATGTGAGCCTCCAGGGGCTCACCCCCCCTCCTCTTTCCTGTTAGGCACATTCGTGTGGCCTTATGCTTGATGCTCCATAGAGAGAAGGGTTTCAAGAGCTTGGGAGTCAAGGCTAGACAGATCTCTTCCAAGACTATCTCACTTAAATGCTTTGCCATGGTCCCACATTTAAAGCGGAGGCTTTACATTGTTGTATTTTCTAGCACAGTAGAAAGACGTGTCCTGGGCTGGGGAGACGGCTCAGTGAGTACAAGCACTGGCTGCGCAGCCATGAGGACCCGAGTTCGGACCCCAGCACCCTGTTAACCTGGATGCAGTAGAGAGATGTACACAGAAGCGAGAAGAGATGGGGGCAATGACAGGATTGTTGGACACTTGTGGGCCAGCTAGGTTGGCGTAGGCAGCAAAAATCAACAAAGCAACCCTGTCTCAAAGTGCAAGGCAAACATTTACTCCTCTGACTTACGTGTATGTGTGCTGTGACACACATGTGCCTGCAGTCACACACACAGACGAAACACAAAGTCTTAAAAACAGACATTTCCCATGTCCCATCATGGAAGCCTGCATGTAGAACAGAAGGGCTGAGGTAGAGGTAACAGGTTGCTGAGGGTCTGGCACCAAAGGGATCCTGCCCTTGCCAAGTCCTCCGGAACGCCCTGGGGGCTTACTGAGTAGTACGTCTCCACTGCGAAGTCCGGCTTGACACTTTCTGGCTTGGCCAAGGTGCCCACGATCTGGAAGGTGCCTTCCTTTACTTTTGCAGTAGAAGCTTCTGGGGCTGCTGACTTTGGTTCATCTTCCTCCTCCTCCTCTTCTGCAATCTCTTCCAGTGACGCCCCAGCAACACAGTTAGAGAGGAACTGCAAGAGAAGAGAGTGGCAAGGTCCCGGGCACTAAGCAGAGTTTTGAGCAAGGGAAGCCAGAGAGTGATGATTCTGGACTCTAGCCTCTACTGGGGACCCCATAGACTGAGGAAAAGCCCTGTACATCATGGTCACAAAAGGCCGATATGGCGCTCATAACACAGACAGTGGTCACACCAGAGGACATTGAATAGCCGATGACACAGGCACAGAGGGCTTCAGCAACTGCTTCCATTAGCACCAGATAGAGCTAAACTCTGGTGAAAAGTCTGGCTTGCTCAATGGGAACACAGATATGCCATATGGACCCCTGAGGTAATTTAAAATCAGTTTGTCAGCTGGGTGTGGTGACACAGCCCTCTTTTTCCAGCACTCTGGAGGCCGGTGGATCCCTGAGTTCAAGGCCAGTATGGTCTACAAAGCCTGTTCTAGGAAAGCCAGGGCTACACAGGAAAACCCTGTTTCAAAACCAAACAAGCAAAATTCCATTTGCCTTTCCTTTATCTTCCCCTTTCCTCCCTCCCCCCACCTCTCTCTTTGTTATTCTCTCTCTCTCTCTCAATCAGCAGAATTTCATGTATTTTTTTTTTAAAAAGATTTATTTATTTATTATGTATACAGTGTTCTGCCTGCATGGATGACTGCATGCCAGAAGAGGGCACCAGACCTCATTGTGGATGGTTGTAAGCTACCATATGGTTGCTGGGAATTGAACTCAGGACCTCTGGAAGAGCAGTGCTTTTAACCACTGAGCCATTTCTCCAACCCCTTTATTTATTTTTTAATGACTTATTTATTTATACAGGAATTTCGTGTATTTTAAGATGGACTTGAAATTTCTATGAAGCCAAAGGTCACCTCTAATGTTCCTGTCTCAGTCTCCTGGATGTGAACAGTCACGTACCACCATACTTGTTTCGTGCCTGGTGGGCAAGCACCCTGCTGGCTCAGCTATATCCCTATCCTAAAACTAAACTATCTAATGGTTACATCTATAACACACATACACACAAAAAAAAAGCAAAAAAAAAAAAATTCAGATGAGATTAAATCTAAAACATTATTTCAGTACTGGAGATCAAAAGCAGGTCCTTGCACATGCTGGCCAAAGCAGTATTTGTCAATTAATACATATCAATATAAATTATATGGTGTGCTGTGTCTTATTTGTGTCTTATTTATTTACTTTTGGTTTTTTGAGACAGGGTTTCTCTGTGTAACCTCTGATGTCCTAGAATTCACTCTGTAGGGGTGTACACACCACTGCCTGGCTGTTTTGTTTTTTTTTGAGACAGAGTTTCTCTGTGGCTTTGGAGGCTGTCCTAGAATTAGCTCTAGTTCTTGTAGACCAGGCTGGTCTCGAACTCACAGAGATCTGCTTGTCTCTGCCTCCCTAGTGCTGAGATTTTTTTCCAGCTACTGAGCCTTTTTCAAGGTGAATTTTAAGCACAAAAAACCATGTTCTGGGTTGACATACTGCAGTTAACAAGAACAGTTAGTCAGAAGCAGAGCTACAAAAGCTAAACAGCTAGGATAGTACATTTTGAGGCGCTCCCAGAACTATATGGACTTGGGTGGATTAGGCCTTTGTTTTTATTTTGGCAAGTGGTGTTGTTTATATGCTGAGTTTTACAGCCTGAATGGTACTTCCAACATAGAGTCAGCTATGCTAAGGTCTCAGGGTGTACTAAGGTCTGGGGCCCTGTTAAATTATCCAGCATCTATAAAAATGGATGAAATATTTTGCTTCATACTTTTTTTAAAAAAATAAACAATGCCTTGGGTAGCTCAGGCTAGCCCTGGCTTCTGAATAGTGGAGTTGCAGGGTGTCTTCTTTTTGTCAAATGCTACTCTTTGGGATTCGATATGCATTTCAGTTTACTGTGCTTCTCTTTGGGGACTAGCCATGCTGAAGTGACTACATGGGGCCAGTGGCCACTACTATGGAATAATAAAGTAGAATGATGATGTTGGCTAAGATTTATGTTTATATTTTAAGATTTAATCTGTTTTGGTGACTATCCTAATTGTCATCATAGAGCCTTCATCCAGTAACTGTTGGAAGCAGGTGCAGAGATCCACAGCTGAGCACTGGGTTGAGCTCCAGGAGTCCAGTTGAAGAGAGGGAGGAGGGATTATATGCACAAGGGGCTTCAAGATCATGATGGAGAAACCCACAGAGACAGCTGACCTGAGCCTGTGGGAGCTCACAGACTCTGGATCAGGAGCCAGAGAGCCTGCAAGGGACCAGCCTAGGCTCTCTGCATCTGGATGACAGCTATGTAGCTTGGTCTTTTGTAGGGCCAGGGCAGTGGGTCCAGAACCTGTCCCTGATGCATGAGCTGGCTCTTTGGAACCTATTCCCTACAGTGAGATGTCTTGCCCAGCCTTGATTCTGGGGGAGGAGCTTGATCCTGCCTCAACTAAATATGCCATGCTTGGTTGACTCCCATGGGAGGCCTTACCCCTTCTGAATGGAGACTGAGAAGTGGATGGGGGTGGTGTGTGTAGAAGGGAGGTGCAGGAGAGAACAGGAGGAGAGGAGGGAGAGGAAACTGGTTGGTATGGGTTGGTATGTAAAAAAAATTTTTTTAATCTGTATTGTAAAACCTCTATCTCATTCCAGTGTCAATTAAAAAAAAATAACTACTGTGAAAACAGGCTAACTAAGAGTGTAAGAGAACAAAGAAAAAGAGAAAATAAAAGAAAAACCACTTCATTAAACATATATCCAACTTTGCAGAGAGCTGCTTTCCTGGTGTCTTCACAGCCTTCTCTGCTGTGCATTGCTTGTTCTGGGGAGAGCTTCCCTGTCAAATGGAAGGCATTCGATGTCCGTTTACATGCTCTTCTGTCTATTCCAGTGCTATATTTGTGTAGCCATCCAGGCATGCCACAGCCCCTTGATAATCATGCCAGAATTTAATTTCACAGCTGATCATCCGATGAGTTGCTTTAAGGAGTCACTGGGGGGGTTGTTTCCACAGACTAATTTTTAACAACCTTGGGAGGCAGGAAACCTGAGTTCTAATTGTACATGATAAGATTTATTTTATTCATATTTGAGTGTTTACCTGCGTGTATGTATGTGCACCATGTGCATGCAGTGCCCATAGAGGTCAGAAGAGGGCGTCAGATCACCTTGCACTGGAGTTGGGACAGTTGTGAGCTGCCCTAATGAGTGCTGGAAATTGAACTGAGGTCATCTAGAAGAACAACCAGTGTTCTTAACCCTGAGTCATTTCTCCAGCCCCTAAAACATGGCTGTGTACTGACAAATGAACAATTTAAGATGACAGCTCCTAGGTTCTCTCCTGGGATCTCCCCCCCCCAAGGGGCTTTATATCTCCACTTAATTTTCAAGACAGGGTCCCTCACTGAACCTGGTGCTTGTCATCTCAGCTAGACTGTCTGGCCAGCAAGCTCCCAGGATCTTCTGTTTTCCAGTGCTACCACTTGCCCAGCTTTTACATGGATGATGGTGGTCAGATCTCAAGTCCTATTGCTTGAACCTAAAGTACCATCTCCCACTGGGCTGTCTCCCCCAGCCCTTCTGTAGGTGAGGAAGCTTATTGGGACCTGGTCAAAATTATGCCTAGCACAAAATAGATCGTTAAAAAAGGGTAAACGAATGTTTCATGGGCGACATAATGACTGGACTTATAACTAGTCTGCTCCTGGTCCTGGCCATTACTCCCTATACGTTAATCTTTACACATCCTTTCCTCTCTTGAGCCTCGGTTTTCCCATACTAAAGAAGTAGGGACCGGAGCCTGGCTTGCAGTCTCCAAACACCTGGGTTTCCATGAAGGAGGGTGGGTCAGCTGTGGTTAGGGACAGGTCCTGGAGACACCGATGTGTCAGGATTGGACTCTTCCCCTGGGGAGGCTCCTAACAGCCCGTGGTGAAAGATCCTTGAAATGGGGATGGACCTGGGGGTCTAACTCGGACCGCCGCTCACCTTTCCTATGTTTCCGCTGCTGTAGGTGTCCAGCTGGTTTATGAACACCCTCTGTATCTTCAGAACTCGCTCAGTCACTGCAGGAACTTCCTCTTCAGCCATGGTGGCAGCTGTAGTAGTTGCTAAGGTGAAAGAGTCCTGTTGGTTACTAAGGAGGAGGGGCGTGCACTTCGGAAGGGTAGGCGGTCAGACTCCCTGGGGCGTGGCTCGCTTTTGGGCGGGGCTCCGGGTGTCCAGTGGGGTGGGCTCTAAATAGGGCGTCTGAGGGGCGTGACTCAGGGGAGTGTCCGTTGGGGGGCGTGGCTCAGGGACAGGGTTGGGCGTGTCTGAAAGGGAGGAGCTGCAGTTCCAGATTCATGCACTCCACTCAGTGCTGCTGTGCACATTTCCCGTAAGACTGTCCCTTCTGTATGTGGTGACAACTTCTCTACTGTAAAGAAAAGCTGTTGTCACGAGTTTTGGCGTTCAGGACACGTGGAACCACAGCGTGAGAGCCCACCACCACACCTTGTTCGCTGCCCGAGGTTCAACTGCCTTAGGATTTTGTCCCTAGTTTGTTTTTTTCTTTTCTTTTCTTTTTTTTATTAAAGTGGTAACACCGAATCAAAGGCAACTTGGGGAAGAAAGGGCATATAGCCTGAAGACCATCATCCAGGCAGGGAAGTCAGGGCAGAAGGCCGAACCAAAGCAAAGAGCCATGGGGAAACGCTGTTTACTGTCTTGCTCAGCCTGCTTTCTTCCTTTCTTCGACAACTCAGGATCAGGGACCTAGGGTGGCACTGCCATGTGATCTGTGCCCCACTTCCCCATCGAAGAAAATGCCCCCCACAGACGTGCCTGCAGGCCATTTCTTTCTTTCTTTCTTTTTTTTTCAAGACAGGGTTTCTCTGTATTGCTTTGGAACCTGTCCTGGAACTCGCTCTGTAGGCCAGGCTATCCTCGAACTCACAGAGATCTGCCTGCCTCTGCCTCCTGAGTGCTGGGACTAGCGCCGTGCACCACCAACGCCCGGCTCCTGTAGGCCATTCTTATGAAGGCATCTTCTCAACCGAGATTCCTGCTCAGTGTTTCCTTGGACTCTAGGCTTTCCTGACTTCAACTGCCAAGTGCTTGGATGATGTGTGCCACCATGCCCAGACCAGGCTGGCCTTCAATTCACAGAGATCCACCTGCCTCTGCCTCCCTGTTGGGACTGGTTAAAGTCACGCTACCACTGACTGGCTGGATTTTTTTTTTTTTTCCTTTAGAATTAAAATCCAGGCTTACTTTTAAAACTGGCTTAGTTTAGGATGGAGGTCTTCGTGTGCTTGCATTACTGTATTTTTACTGACTTCATTTATTCTGAATAAAGAAAGGAGTGATATCTGTCACTCATTTCAACTCAAAGTGTAACATGCATGAACTAAAAACAAATGTGGGCACAGGTCTTGGAATCAGTCATTTATCACAAAATGAACAATTTCAATCTTTAAACACACGATCACTTTATATTCAACTCAAAAGCAGATAAACAATTTTATTCAAACTCTACAAACATCATTTTCTTATAGTAGCCTGAGATTAAGCATGAAAAATTTCAGCCCGAAGTTCGGCTTTGTTTCCCAAACATCATGCCAGCATGAGCGCATCATAAAGCCAGGTTCAAGCCCCCGGTGATCTCTGCTGGTGTCAGCAATGCAGAAGGAGCCTAATTGTCCTGGGCCACATGATCATTTTGAGTTTTTAAAATTGTTTTAATCTTCAGGATTGAGCCCAGTGCTTACCTATGATAGCCAAGTGCTCGCTCTACCCATCATCCCTCATGTGATCTTCAGAAGCTAAAAACGCCCACTTGAAAACCAATGACAAAAACATCTGTGATGACAAATGTATGAAAGGTGCACCCAGATGCAGAGGGCTGTTACACATTTCTGAAGCAAGCAGCTGCTTTGGGTGACAATTAAAAAACAATACCCAGGTCCTTCCTGCTCGTCACGTCCTGGAAAACATGCAGCAGCATAGAGTGTTTTATTAAGTTTATAAACACCAGGGACTGTAATAAAATATAAAATACAGAGCATCTCTTTTTTAAATATCAAGTTTCTGAACGCTTCATTCGTCCTTTGGTTTCAAACCATACAATGCACTCATATTACACTGTACACATGGCAATGAGACAGAACACTGTCTGACTGCAGGGGAAGAAGGGATGCGGCAGGAATACCAAAGCGCTACTTTATAGAAAGTGAGCGTTGAAGCAAAAATACTTTCTGAATATATATATGTGTATATATATATACTGTACATTGTAAACAAACATTCAGAATAAGAATCAACACAGGCCAAAATATCGTTTCCTAGGAAACCAGGATCTTCTTCCTTTGAAATGATACACGCTGAGGATGCGGTGGGGCCTGTTCCTCTATCTGCTCATGTGCTTAGATATCTTGGAAATGAGTCATTGTTACATTCATTTGCTAGCGGTCTGTCCTCTCTAGGTTGGCTGGCTGTTGAGGAATCGAGAACTATTTCTGTCCCTGCCTTTCATTTCATCCTAGGTTAAGTAACATAGAAGCAATTTCATTTTCATCAGTCCATTTGGTAATGTAAGTAGGTTAAGAGGAACAGTGAATTCCAAATTTGTGCAGGGGAAACTAGTTGTTTGTTTCCAATAAGGCCAGTAACAAAGTAACCACTGCTAAGTCAGTCCAAGCTAGTAGTAAACCCCTGATTTAGCAGGCTGAAATGCAGGTCTGAAGTTAGGTGATTCTAGTTTCTATATCACTGTGCAAATCTAGGATTTTCTATGTAAAAGAGAGTGCTGGCAGCATTGAAGCCCTGTGATAAGAGAATGAAATGTTGATTAGGTATTGAAATGTAGAGTGGCTGTGTGGAGAAATCAGAATGTAATGAGTGTTAGAGTAATGGCCTTGAAATTCCCTTAAATGAATCTGGAACTGAGACAATTTTGAGTCAATTATGTTCAGAGTCAAAAGCCTACATGTGAAGGGATGATAAACATATAAAGCTGACGATGCACTTTCTACAATGATTATATGCAAGGGTGTCAAGTCTTATGTTCGCATTCTACACCAGCAGTAGCCCCACTATAAAGAAAATGAGTCATGACTGCTCATCTCTTTTCAAAGCTTCCAGTCTCTGAAGCAGTGCATTTCCAAATGCTTCCCGGTAGGCCGGGCTGAGCGTATCCAACAAGGAGTAGACTGTCTCGTGGTAAGGGGTCTGCAAATGATCCTCCACCTGGTCAAAAGCATAGCCCACCACCTACAAGAGAAGGGCAGCAGTGAGCGCTCGTCGGCTTCCATCCTGGCACAGAAGGCAAGAGCCAGGAGTCTGAGCGGCTCATTCTGTAGTGACACTATTTCCCAGCAGAAGACATGCATTTCAGAACAGCTGTTAGCAAGCTCTAGGGGCAGTGTGTGACAGATAGGTCCACTACCCGGGACGTGCTTCCTCCACGGCTCTTCAAGAGGTTTGCTTTGCTCACCTTTGCCCCCTTTTCAAGTCATAAAAACCATAAAAGTAACACAAAAGTAGCACTTCACTTTTCATATCTCAAAATAATGTTAATCCTTATTTTTATTTTAAATTATGTATGTGTGTGCCTGCGTTTACCCGAGTGCAGGTTTCCACGGAGGCCAGAAGAGGGCTCTGGGCCTCGTTCCTGGAGCTGCAGTTACTGTGGCTGTGAACTGTCTGACACGTGGGTGCTGGGAATCAAACTGGTGCAAGAGAAATGTGCTTTCCTAACCACAGAGCTCTCTCCAGCATGTACCCTGACTGAATCCCATACAGTGGAGATCTACCATACCGAGGTATCTGCTTGCAATAAAGATACCAGTGACAAAGCCTCCCCACTCAGCCTGTGCTGAGAAGTGAACCAGGGCCATATATGTATTAGGCAAGGGCTCTACCTTTAAGCACTCCCTTACCTTCCCTTCCTCCATCCCTCCCTCCATAAGACAGGATCTCACTATATAATCCTGGCTGGCCTCCAACCCAGAGATCCACCTGCCTCTGCTTCCTGAGTACTGGAATAAAAGGCATGTACCACCATGGTCAGCCTCTGAGTATCTTCAAAAAATTGCCTGGCTTTTTCTTTTCCTTAATTTGTTGAAGACACTCAGAGGCTGGGCATGGTAGTACATGCCTTTAATCCCAGTACTCAGGAGGCAGAGGCAGGTGGATCTCTGGGTTAAAGGAGAGCATGGTCTACAGAATGATCCAGGACAGCCAGGGTTACACAGAGAAACCTGTCTCAGGAAAAAACAAAACAAAACAAAACAAAAAACCCCTAACAAAAACCAAAAGCAACAAAAAAATGTGTGTTTTTACACACACACACACACACACACACACACACACACCATGGCACATCTATGGAAGTCAGGTGACAACACCGTGAAGTTCCACTTTTATGTGGGTTCTGGCTTGTACAAAATGCATCTAGTTGCCAGCTGTGCCCTGACAACCCCTTTTGATGGGAGATACACTTGTGGAAGCCAAGCTAAGGCCTTTCAGCACAGTAACTACAAATGCACCCTCTGAACAGAGTCCACTCTGGGAGCTGCAGCTGTGAGCCATGGGAAGGAAAGATATTTGCTTGGATGGTAATAATTCAAGCAACTGAATCAACACTCTGCAAATGTATTTACCCCTCAAATTCAACTGTTTGACCAACAAAATTTGGCCAAACTAACCACATTAAGTTAACCAAAATTTTTGGGAAAAATATTTAAGTGTTTTTGGAGACACCCATGACTAGTTTTTATGTTATGCCCTTCTCTATCCTTTCTGATAAAGTGGTAAAGATAGGCTTTTCTCTTCTTCTAACGATAAAAGTGAGTTACCCTGAGCCCTGCTTCCGTGAGCTCCAGGCAGTATCTGTCTCTCTCCTTTGTCTCCACGTTGATGTAAGCCACATCATCTGCACAGCGAAGGCTTTGTGAGACAAACATGTTGTTGACAGCGAAGAGAACGTCGTTTACAACTGCTTCAGCCTCTAGCCGCATGTCCTTCATGTCCGTTCCTTCAAACCCATTGAGCTCGGAGCCTTCTTCAAACCCAGACATACTGCTCAGCTCCACGGGATTATAGTCTGTCTCCATTCTGCAAGAAAGTAGTAACAGATTCTTTTTTTTTAAATAGAAAAATATTCAAATTATATTTGATTAGAATAACTAAGTCTTACAATTGGTACTCAGTACAAAACACAGACTGGGAGATGGGTCAGTGGGTAAGTCACTTGTTATACAAGCATGAAGACCCAAGTTCAATGCTAGCACTCATGTAACCAGCCGGGCCACCATGGTGGCAAGTGCATCTGTGACCCCAGCGCTGAGTGGACAGAGGATGAAGGTAAGGGCTTGCTGGTGGCCAACCACCACCTGATGTCCTCTGATCTCCTTACCCATGGGCACATCGCATACACACGTGCATGCACACTACTGTAACAATACCAGGCGGTGGGCAAAAAAACCAAACTCCTTACACACTACTAACATTTTTTTTTTCTTTCAGGGAAAATAATGCCTAAAACCATTTCCCACAGCGGGGGGGGGGGGGAAGGGAGGGAACCCTTTCTTGTTTTTCCCCCTAAAACTTAAAACAAAAAAAAAACAAAAAAACAAACCTATTTATGTGGACACACATGCTTGCCATGGCCTGATGTGGCTGGCCGTCTCCTTCTAGCCTGTGGGTTCTGGGGATTAGACTCAGGTCACTGGGCTTGGCAGCAAGCACCTTTATCCACTGAGCTATCCTGCCAGCCTTAAAATATCAACTCTTATTTTGATAAACATTTGTCTTATCACCATTGTAGCTATTACACACAATGCCTCAGCAAATGAGTACATAGATTCATTTATTTATTTGAGACAGGAACTTTCTATATGGCACTGGCTGTCCTGAAATTCACTGTGTACTTCCAAGTGCTAGTATTAAGGGCATAAACCACCAGGCCCAGTGAATGCATAGTTCTAAATGTGTAACTGTTTCTCTAATTAGATATTCCGGACAGGAACTGCAGAGTCAGAGGACATACCCATGTTAACAGGTGTCACTGAAGGGCAAAGCCTTGCTGACAGACCATTCTATAGGTGGAAGGCTAGGTAGGGGTACTTGGAACCCCAGCTTTCCCATCCCTTTTTAACTTCCATCAGTCTGAGCGGTAAACAACAAGAGCTCATTTGTTCTAGCACACGTTTCCTTGAGCAAACACCTTTTTGGAGGCTTACAGGTGGAAGCAAACCCATTCTGTATGAAATCAAAGTTTACATCCACACCTAGGCAAGGGGAGGGTGCTATGTTCTGAAAGTCTAATACAGGGTTACTATACTTCTTCAAACACGTCTCCCTTATTCAATTAACACACTGCTTAAACTTATGTTTGGTTTTATAGACATGACCATTTAATCTAGTTTATAGATTCTGTTTGGTCCCTGGTGGGCTACTGGTTAGGATTTGGTGTTCTCACCACAGTAGCCCTGGTTCAATTAAAAAAAAAAAAAAAAAAAATCAGTTTGGAAGCTTTTAGCCTCTAACACTGCAACACATCATGTCTTTATCTTGGTAACTATTCACCTCAGTTACAGACATCAGAATAATAATTACATGAAAGGATGTTCCTAGAGCTCTTTTTACAGGAGTCTGGCACTTGCATGGATGAGGGCCTTATAGGCCGGCAGAGTAGGTCACCACATGGCTTCTGGGCAATAATCAATCTCAAGTTCCCAGAAGAAGACACCTAGGAGATTCCACGCATCCCCTCAGGGAATGATGTGGAAAACTCACAGCTTCTGACAGAGATTTTATTATGCGTAGGTTCATGTGTCTGCATGTGTGTTTGTGCCTGTGTACAGGGACCCCTGGGGGCTGGAGTCACTGTCTGGGTGCCTGCAGCTGGACCTGGCTGCCCTGCAAGAGTAGGGCAGTGCCCTTAATCACCATCATCTCTTAATCTCCAGCTGCAACTTACTACTTTGTTGGCCGTAAAGCCTTTACTATTTATGGACCGCCTTTCCCTTTCCTAGGGAAAGGTTTTATGAGGGGAATAATGCCCCTTCCCTACTGAGTGAGGTCAGCAGCAGGTGGGTGTGGCTCAGACTGACTCCAAAACCTGGCTGTAGTCCCTCCCGACCACTTAGTGCATCAACTTCTTGGCCTTTTCAGTCCAGTCATGGCACACACCTGGCAGTCCTCTTCAGATGAGGACAGGAGTCCAAGGACAATTCTGACAAGGAAAGAGAGCAGCAGAGTCCACCCAGTTTCCCGACCTCTGCAATTTTCAGTTACTGGCGCCAGTACAGTCCCCTGATGTGGCTGGCCTGGCTGGACAACAGCTTTATAGAAGTAAAGAGATCTTAAAGATGGAAGCCTGACAATGACCGTGAACGTTCGTGCAGAATTGAGTATCAGGATGTGTTTGTTATTAGCTTCCCATTGTTGCTGCTGCAACAAATGACCACAAACACCGTGGCTTGGAGCAAATGACCATCAACACAGCAGCTGGAAGAGCACCTTTACTTTCTTGAAACTCTGGAGATGAAGCATAAAGTCAAGACATCCCCATGGCTTGTTCCTTACTTCCTTATGGTTTCCGATTGCCAAGGTCACTTGACTTCCTTTGCTTGTAGTCCCTTCCTGTGTCCTCTACTCTCCAAGGCTGCCCCGGCCATGGCTGCCGCTGAGTGCCAAATCCGTTGGTAGCAGAGCGGCCAGTGACCTGGTGGCAGGATGACTATACGGGGTCAATTTCCCTGTGGGAAGGCCAGTACTCTGTCCACAGCACTGTGCATGGGTTTGCCTTTCCTGCACGTAATGCGTCTCCCAAAATGACCAGTTAGAGAATCCATTATCCACTGTCATGGCAATACATACAGCCTTCTGTCACAGACAGTTGTGAGCCCTATGTGGGTTCGGGGAACTGAACCCAGGTCCTCTGCAAGAGCAACAAGTGCAGGTAACTGCTGAGTCATCTCTCCAGCCCTAATTAAGGGTCTTAACTCCATTGGCCCATGTATCTATAATGTTTTCTCCTTTTTTTTAGACAGGGTTTCATGTTACCTAGACTGGCCCTGAGCTGCTGCATCTCCTCTCAGTCCTGGGATCCCGACATGCACCACTAAGCCTGCCTTTAACCAGGATGTCCTTTAAGACTCAGACTAACAAATCAAAAACACGTACTAGTAGTTTAAAATCTAATTTGGGGAATGAGACAGCCGTAAAATATCTATACAAACATTAAAACCACAAATACGATCATAATCATAAAGAAACATGCTTAAGTGTGAATACTTGATATGGCAAACTTGCTATCTGCTTGAGTTCAACTCAAGCTCTACCTAAGTGTCTGTGTGCTTAGGTGGCCATAAAACCTTTCTGGGCTCCTGGTGCTCTTACCTAGAGAACAAGGACACTGGATAGTAGTCTCCACTGTGTGAGGCGATCTACGGTGTGACAAGGCTTACACTGGGACCTGACTCAATGGCAGAAGGGGTTCTTAATGGGAAGAAAGCATTAGAAGGGTCTGCACGGGCAAAAACAACACTGAGAAGGGCGGTCTAGCTGAAACACATGCACAGTGTTAAGGGACACCCGAGTGGTCCAGTTTGCACTGATTTCGACCTAACAGGCTGCCTTAAAGGCTTGAGAATGGAAACAATGGTCACTAGAATCACGGACTCGGCTGAGTGTAAATTTACTATCTTGTTTCTTTCACATTCTTTTTCCTCACCCATGGTTTATTTTCCATGTCGTTCTGTTTGGGCTGGCTAATTCCCAAAACTCTATTAGCTTTTTTTTTTTTTTAAAGACATGTATCTAGGCTGGTCTCAAGCTTGCTATGAAGTGTGGGATGACCCAGAACTTCTTGACTCTCCAGAGTGCCGGGACTACAAGTATGTAATTACTTATAACTTTGTGTTTCTGGTAGTTGCATTTAAGGTTTATGGTTTACCACAATGTAGCTTTGACAGATGTTATATTGTTCTTCATGTATGGGAACCTTATCAGAGTACACTATAGAACCCTGGCTATTTGTCACATGCTTTCCTCTATATATGTTAAAAACTCATAATACATGTTAATTTTGCCTTTTTCTGGGGGAGGGGGAGGTCAAGATCTCATGTAGCCCAGACAGGCTCAGCATGTAGTCAAAAATGAAGTGAACGTCTGAGTTTTTTACCTCCACTGGGGGAGCCTGGGTTACATGTGGGAGCCACTGTGTCTTCCTTTGGCCCCTATAGGCACCTGTCCTGAGGAGCATGCGACTGCATATGCATATGCATATGAGGCAGTAGTGGCTGGGGGTGGAGCCAGTGGTAGAGTTTCTCCAGCGTGAATAAGGTGTGGGTTCGATCTTCAGCACCACACACACAAGGTAAAGAACAGGACAGTTCCAATGGTTTGGTCCCCACAAAGGCTCATATATGCAAGCCTGGTCCCCGCCTGACACAGCTAATCTCTGTGCTGTGGCTCAGTCACAAGGCTCTGACCCTATCAGTGGACCTTATCCTCCCTGAGAGAGCCTTGCTGGGGAGGATATGGGGATTTGCTGGGGTCCCCTGGGTGTCTTTTCTCAGCTGTCACAAGGTGAGCAGCCCTGCTCTGCAGCCCCCCTCTGAACAACATTCTGCCTCACATCAGAAGCAATGCAGTCAATCCACAGCTCCTCCGATAGGACCTGTGGGCCGGGACAAACGCAGCTCTCCTCCTCTTAGGCAGTTTATGTGGATTCTTCGTCACAACAGTAAAAACTATTGAAGGCTCTACTTTCTCTACGGTACAAGAGCAATGCACAGACGTGTGACACACCGGGAACCGGGAAGGGCAATGCACAGACGTGTGACACACCGGGAACCGGGAAGGGCAATGCACAGACGTGTGACACACCGGGAACCGGGAAGGGCAATGCACAGACGTGTGACACACAGGGAACCGGGAAGGGCAATGCACAGACGTGTGACACACCGGGAACCGGGAAGGGCAATGCACAGACGTGTGACACACCGGGAACCGGGAAGGGCAATGCACAGACGTGACACACAGGGAACCGGGAAGGGCAATGCACAGACGTGTGACACACCGGGAACCGGGAAGGGCAATGCACAGACGTGTGACACACCGGGAACCGGGAAGGGCAATGCACAGACGTGTGACACACCGGGAACCGGGAAGGGCAATGCACAGACGTGTGACACACCGGGAACCGGGAAGGGCAATGCACAGACGTGTGACACACCGGGAAGCAGGGTGGAGGAAGCAGAAGCATTTGCCTCAGAAGCCAGGCTATTGCTCTAACAGCTGAAGTAACCAGCAGCATCTGTTCCACAGAAAATGAAAAGGCCAAACTGACTTCATTTTAAACAGCTATTCAAAAAATAAAGGGAACAAAAGCCATCCATTTTAATTAGCATTGTTTAGAATTTGGGTAAAGCTCAAACCTTTTTTTAACATCATTTAGATCTGTTTGTTTGTTGTTTTTTGAGACAGGGTTTCTCTGTAGCTTTGAAGCCTGTCCTGGAACTCGTTCTGTAGACCAGGCTGGCCTTGAACTCAGAGATCCACCTGCCTCTGCTTCCCAAGTGGTGGGATTAAAGGCGTGCACCACCACCCAGCTCTTACATTTGTTTTCAGTGGCTCTGTCATACATATACTTAAACTTTTAAAAGTTATTAGTTTATATATAGGGATGTTTTGCCTGCGTTTGTCTGTGCAACAAGTACATGCAGTGCCCAAACAGGCCAGAAGAGGGTGTCAGATTCCCTGGAACTTGAGATGGCGTGAAGTGCCAGGTAGGTGCTGGGAACTGAACCTATGTCTTCTGCAAGGGCTTCACTGCTGCACCATTGCTTCAGCCTCACACATACACTTTTGAAATTGAAGATTTTAAGTCAGAGTCACTTGTGAGGCGCCTATTTCTACTTCCACCCTGATTTGTAGTTACTCTGCTCTCCAACTTCAGCAAGAACCGAGACACACGCCACAGTGCTGCTGAAGTCAACAGGGCTGCACTGATCCCACCGAGTATGGCAAGCTTAGGGCTGCACTGATCCCACCGAGTACGGCAAGCTTGGGGTGAAGGCAGGCAGGGCGATAACCTGAGTGTTCAAAAGGAAACAAGTAGTGACCCCGTAACCCTCAAACCAGAGACTGAGGGTCCAAGAAAGAAAAAAAGACTCCCCACCCCACCTCCCGAACCAGGCAGTACTGGTTCTTACTATATAGCTCTCCAGGAAACTGGATTCTTGGAACTATAAGTAGGGAATATGCTAACCTATATAAAACAAATCATTAGACACAGATAAAAGCCCCGGGGCTGAGAGATGGCTCAGTAGTCAACACTGGCTGCTCTTCCAGAAGACCCAGGTTTGAGTCTCAGCACCCATATGGCAGCTCACAAGAGCCTATAACTCAGTCAAGTGGTAGTGGTGCCTACCTTCAACCCCAGCCCTCAGGAGGCAGAGGCAGATCTCTGTGAGTTCAGGGCCAGCCTTGTCTACAGAGTGAGAGGCTGTCAGAAGCCCTGGAACTGGATACAGACAGCTGCTGTGTGGTTGAGGGAATTGAACCCAGGTTGCTGAGCCATCTCTCCAGCCCTAAAAAATCATTTATTTATTATGCATACAGTATCCTGTTGGCGTGTGCCTATATGCCAGAAGAGGGTACCAGATCTCATTATAGATGGTTGTAAGCCACCATGTTCAAAATTACTGGAAACTCCAGGCTTCTGACTCCAGGTTCAGCGCTCTTTACACATGCAGGGACGGCTGTGGCTAGGGCATGGCAGCATTGACACTGTAGTCCTGTTCTGTACACGTCTTTTTTTAAAATTTATATACTTATTCCTCTCTGTCTCTCTCTCTCTCTCTCTCTCTCTCTCTCTCTCTCTGTGTGTGTGTGTGTGTGTGTGTATTGTGCACATGTCATGGTGCTCCTGTGCAGGTTAGAGGACAGCTGGGGGGAACCCAGTTCCTTCTCTCCCTCTATCATGTGGGGCCTGAACTCAGGCTATCAGGCATGGCAGCAAGTGACTCTGCCTGCTGACCCATGTTACTGGCCTATGGCCTTTCACTGTTGCTTCAGACTGGGTCACATCAACCCAGGCAGCCCTGGTATGTAACCAAGGGTGACATTGGCTTCCTGGTTCTTGTGCCTTTACTTCCCAGGTGCTGGGATCACAAGTATGCTCCACTGGGTTCTCCCAGGCAACTCTTCAATACAATCAACACCGGCACAGTGATCTGTGGACCCCTATTTACACTGTTATTTTTGACTTGAAGCACCTTCTAACTTGCTACTGAGTAGCTAAATGTGGGATCTTTCATTTTCCCTTTTTTGAAAACCGTGTTACCAGCAGTCACAGAACGAAGCCCAAAGTCCATTTCAAACTCCCACGGCCTGAATTAGGCAAGGTTCCACCTCAGATTTTGAACTTTGCTTTGCTTATACTACAAAGAGTACTGCCATTCCTTGTAAGGCTCAATCTCTTTTTGAAACAGTGTCCTCCCATGGAGGCCAGGCTGGCCTTGAATTTAAGGAGAGCCATTTCCATCTGCCTCTCTAGTGCTAGGATTAAAAGTGTGCGTCACAATGCCTGATAAGCATGCCTTATTAGAGTCAAGCTCTATCTAGACCCCAACTAACTGGTTTTAATCTTCAGTGCTACATTCTGGTTTGAGCCATGGAATCTGGATCCCTTGCACTGTCGTTTCAGTGTTGGTCTGGCTGTTTTCACTTTAGCCTTCTAAGCCCCACACCTGCCTATTTTCAACATTGTAATCAGCAGACTTGGGCTAGATTATCTTGTATTTCTCTTTATTTTACAGGCGCACAAACAAATCGAATCCTTGAAATGGCCCACACTCGTACTTACATCTACCATCAGCTCCTTTCTCTCCTCCCTCCTCAAGTTCCTGGAATTTACCAAGCGTGACTCCTGTGATGAGCCTTGTAGGTGGTGGTCTTGTCTGGAAAAGAGCTCTGGCATCCACGTGTCCTATTTCCCCGACTCCTAATTTCTAGGCTAGTCTGGCCAACGTAACAAGTTCAAAGCCAGCTTAAGCTATATAGCACGAGACTGTCTCAAAAACCAAACCAAACCAAAAGAACCAATTCTGAGCATTCATGAACCAGAATTCAACCTCCCCAACCCATGACTCCGTTTCGGTCCCTTCCCTGTTCGCATCATTTCATTTTCCTCAATTCTCGAGTTTTTATTAATCTATCCACACCTGGCCGAGGTGACAACGTAGGCTTAGAGAGGGCAGCGCACGTTCAGGGAGGCTCAGTGTCAAGTGTCTGGAATATAACCCAGGACAGCAGACTTTCCGGCCTTTAGGGGCTGCCTCGGTAAGGAGCCAGCGGTGCCTCCGCAGGATTGTCTCCTAAAAGGTAAAAATACGGCTGCGCAGATCTCCCGGCTAGCACAAAGTCTTCGCTGCGGTGCCCCCTCCACCCCCGGGGTCTCGAGGCGCCGGGTCTTAACCGAGAGAACAGTATTGCTCTCAAGCGCCCCGAATCCCAAGTTTGCTGGTCGTCGGCGTGGCACACTAGGAGGGGCGCTCTGCAAGCACAAAGTCCTAGACCTGGAGGATGCTTTGCAAACAATACCAGCACGAGGTGGGGAACAACTTGCTGACAATAGGCACCGGTCAAAACCCGGACAGAAATGCCAAGTCTCCAGTCATCGTCCTGCAACCCGCGGCGCCCGGAGCACCACTTCCCGGAGGACAGCCCAGGCCGGACCCGCCCCCAGGCCTCGGTCAGGCCGAATGCGGATGTACGCTCGCAGGCAGTCCTTCGGCCCCGCGAGGTCAGGGCCCACGGCCGGCAGCCTGTGCGTCCACTTACCTGCGAGCGCCCATGTTCCTCCTCTTCCTCGTACCGAGGAGTCTGGAGCTGGATTTGCGGCGCCGGCACCGCCCCCGCCCCCACAGTCGCCCCGCCCATTCGTCACCGGAAATGCTCCTGCCCGGACTCCTTTTCCTGCCTCCCCAGCCCCACAGCATGGCGTCACTTCCGCCTGCGCCAGTTGCTCGAGTGCGCGCGGGGAGACCAGGGTTCGCGAACGCGCCAGGAGCGTCTCGGAGGCGGGAGCGCGCCTTGTAGATGACAACAAATTTGTCGCGCAGAGTCGGAGTGTGCCTCGCCGCCGCCGTCTGCCCTCTGCCTCTCGTGCATTCTCTCTCCGGACCGACAGCGCTTCGGGAGCCTCCGGCCTGGGGCGCCGGGTTCCGCTCAGCGACCCGTTCCCGCCGGGCCTAGTGCGAGCGACGCGACGCGCGCGGGCCATGGGGTCGTCCTGAGAGTCGGCGGCGCAGAACCGACATGCAGCGGCCACCTCGAACCTAGACCCCAACGCAGCCTGGGGACGCCGGCCGGACCCCGAGGCGCTGTCGCTGCCTGGTCCCCAGGTCCGATCCCGGAGTCGCCGCAGCGCGCAGCCCCGGCCCTCCCGGCCGCCAGTCCTCACCAACATGCCTTGGCCATTTTCAGAGTCTATCAAGAAGAGGGCCTGTCGGTACCTCCTGCAGAGGTACCTGGGCCACTTCTTGCAGGAGAAGCTGAGCCTGGAGCAGCTGAGCCTGGATCTGTATCAGGGCACTGGGTCTCTCGCCCAGGTCCCCTTGGACAAATGGGTAAGCTGCCGGCTAGGGGCTCGCTTTCCTTAGGGCAAAACCTGAGCGTTTGTCATCCAGCATCGGTGACGGTCAGCCCTTCCTTGGGAATTGTTTGGGTCCAAGCGTGGCGGAGCTCAGGGAAGTGTGTGAAGTGTAGCAAGTTTGTGCCCCTATGTCACGTGCACAGACTTAAACGATATAATAATGGAGGCTCACACCATGCGAACAATTGAGTCATTGCTTGGTGGTCTGTGAAGCAGGCCCAAGGGAAGGAGGTGACCAGCTCACTACTTGGGCTGTGAGGGTCGCGGGGATCAAGGCAAACAAACCCTATATTATTGAATGATGTCCGGAAAAAATTAAAGATGAAGAGTTGTCAAAAATCCCCAGTTATTTATTTTGGTTTGGATGCTGGTTTGATTTGCCTGGTTGTCTTCGTACAGCGTTGGGCGTCTGGAAGAAAGTTAGGCGAAGGCCTCTTCTGCCACTTTGCCTGCCTTGCTTGATTGTATGTTTACAAGGCCAGTTCATCTTCCCAGCCAGCCTGTAAATGGTTGTGTGGCCCCACGAGTGCTGTTTAGATTTGCCTTTTTGCTTCACGTGATAAATCGACAGGTCGTAAAGGCAAATGTTGCAAAAGCTCTGAAGCTGCAACCTCAGCCATTTTCCAAAGAGCCTGTTTTCTACTAGAGACTGTGAGTTGATTCACTGTTTTCTGTGTGTATTTCAATTCACCAAATACAGTTGTATTCGCATCAATGGGTTAAAATGCCTAGTATTTGACCGAAAGGCCTTGGGGTTGTATTGGCTTCTCTTTGCCATTGAGAAGCTTAAATAATGGAAACTCCTTTGCAATTTGTGCTAAGGGGTATGAATATAACATAATTATATCTTAATGAGGCAACTTAAACCAGGGAGAGTACACATGAGAGTTTAAAGAGCTCTAGTTTGAGTAACAGAAAGACCTTGTCCTATATCAGAGTAGTTTCAGGCTGACACCGTCAGCTGAAAGATGGCAGGCATAGTAATTAACCCAAGTGCAGAAATCATAAAAGGACAGCACACTCCTTGCATGCGGGGTCATTGTATTAGGCTGCTGTGCAGCTGCTTTTTTTTTTTTTTTTTTTTTTTTTTGTTTTTTTTTTGAGACAGGGTTTTTCTGTAGCTTTGGACTCACTCTCTAGACCAGGCTGGCCTTGAACTCACAGAGATCTGCCTGCCTCTGCCTCCTGAGTGCTGGGATCAAAGGCCTGTGCCACCACTGTCTGGCTCTGCCATTTTTTCTTATCAGCAAATGGGAAACTTTTGGTAGCCCTAGCTGCCCTGGCACTTGCCTGTGTAGCCTAGACTTCATGACAGTTCCCCTCTGCCCTACCCCTTCCCCTTAGCCTCCTTGGTACAGTTTTGAATGGGCTACCATTTTCTTTTCTGTGACCAAACCATCTTACTCAGAGGCTTGAAGATGAGCAGGGGCTGAAGAGATCAATGGGATCTGACACCTTTGTGTAGATGTCCTTGGTGTCCGTCATCGCAGCAAACAGAATAGGAAGTCCTGAGGGAGGGGTGGCTGTTGATGGATGTCTTGTAGGTGTGAGTTGGTGTGCAGTGCAGTACTCTTTAAAGATGACGCTAAACAGACGTTAGTCTATCTGTTTTATAAATGGTGTTTAATACTTTGTCCCGTGACGCGGCTACAAGTGTTATAACAGGAATTCAAGCCTTACTCTTGAGCCCGTGCTTCCTTCGTGTGGACGCAGCCGTACGAAGTTCAGGGTTTGAATTCAGTTACATTGCATACTTGTTTTAATGGCTTTCAGGACTGAAAAAAAAGATGCCTACAGCCAGGTGGTGGTTCCTGCCTTTGATCCCAGTACTCAGGCAGAGGCAGGCAGATTTCTATAAGTTCAAGGCTCAACAGAGGGAGTTCCAGGACAGGCTCCAAAGCTACAGAGAAACCCTGTTTCAAAAAACCAAACAAAACCAAAACAACCCCCCCCACACACACAGTCTACAGAGATCCATACATGATAATGGAAGATGTATGTGAATGACAGCATTACTAACATTTCAATTCTTTAAAAAAGGATTTATTTTTCTGCGTGTGTGTTCATGTGCATGTGGGTACTTATGGAAGCCAGAAGGAGACATCAGAGTTACAGGTAGGTTTTGAGCTGCCTGATGTGGGTTGTTGGGACCCAAACTCAGATCCTCTGCAAGAACTGCAAGTGCTCTTAACTGCTGAGCCATCTCCTGGGGCCAGCATTTCAGTCCTTAACTCTCAGCTATATAGAGAAATTGGCTGGACTTGGCAGCGATGTAATCAGTTATTAATAATGAATTGGTGGTGGTGTGATTTTTTGTATGCAGCTGTGAAACTACATCTAAACCCCCATCTTCCAAATATTTTGTTCAGAATATTTTTAGACAGGTTGGGACAGTCTTTCCATATTTCAAATCTTTTATAACCCTGTATAGCTAATGACTGTAAAGACTAGATTTTTTGTGTTGCTTTTGGTTTTGTTCTTTTTTTTTTTTTTTTTTTTTTTTTTTTTTTTTTGAGAAGATCTTGCTAGGTAGCCTAGCCTAGCATTGAACTCAAAATCCTCCTCATTCTGCCTCTGGAGTTGTGGTGTCTATGTCTTCAGTAGAAATGGTTTTAAGTTAAGGACCAATGGAAATTTTCCCAAGTAGTTTTAAAAGATATTGCAAATATCCTTTAAAAAGAAGTTATTTTCTTTCTTACTTAGAAGTATTATCCTTACTTGGGAAAGTCAGATTAAGTATCCTGGGTGTTTTTTTGAAAATTGTCTAACAGGTAGCCTTTATTCCTAGCCATTTGAGAGCACATGGTTGGCTGGCATAGTTAGAACTACTACTTTGCAAAGGCGGAAGCTGTTTATCACTAACCCTTACTCATAAATACCTGGCAATATGACAACCAGGAAGGTAGATACTTCACTTTGGAGATCATGGACTCGTGAAGAGCTTGAAGTGGAGGTGGAGATAGAGAGTCAGGGTTTGGGACTGTGCCACAGTTGGAATGGGCTTGCAGTTTAAGGAGCTCCTGGTTCCTGGAAGTGGGCAAAAAAGGAAAGGAAGAGGTTTTGTCTGCTGAGAGAGGGGACTTCCTGACTCACTCTTTCTAACTTCTGAAGACTAGGAGTTTATTTTAATTATTTACATAATGAGGGAACTTTAAAAAGTTTTCCCCCTATTTAATCAGTGTATGCACGCGCATACACCTCTCTCCTCTCTCTCTCTCTCTCTCTCTCACACACACACACACACACACACACACACACACACACACACACACACACACCACTATGCCACAGCATGCATGTGGACAGGACATCTTGCAGGAATTGGTTATTTCCTCACACCATGTATGTTCTGGAGCTCCAAGCCAGGCTGCCATGTTTGGTGACAGGAGCCTTTTCTTTCTGGACCATCTCTACTGTGTAGCTGGACTTTTGTTACTGTTTTTACTCTTTGGGGACCCGCCACCCTTCCCTTTTAAACCACACAGGGAGGCTTATTCTTTCTTATAATAATTGCCTGACCTTAGTTTGGCTTGTTTGTAGCCAGTTTTTCTTAAATTATCCTATCTACCTGTTGTCTCTGGACTTTTACCTGTCTCTATTTCTGTGTATCTTACTTTCACTCTTGCTCTGTGGCTTGCTGTGCAGCTGTGCAGCTGTGCAGCTGGTTGGCTCCCCAGGAGTCTTGCTGTCCTCCTTTTCTTGTTCCTTGACCTTGCCTCAGATTACTCCTATTTCTTCTCTCTGCCAGCCCTGCCTAGCCTATCTCTTGCCTTGCTATTGGTTCTTTATTAGACCAATCAGGTGTTTTAGGCAGGCAAAGTAACACACCTACACAGAGTTAAGTAAATGCAACATAAAGAATGCAGCACAGCCAGGTGGTGGTGGTGGCACACACCTTCAATCCCAGCACTTGTGAGGCAGAAGCAGGGGGTTCTCAGTTTGAGGCTAGCCTGGTCTACAGAGTGAGTTCCAGGACAGGATCCAAAGCTACACAGAGAAACCTTGAAAAACAAACAAAAGAATGCAACACATCTTTGCATCATTAAACATATATACCACAGTATAAACAATGTAACACACCTTAAATGAATATTCTACAACACTACTGTGTCTATTTTAATTTTTTAATGAAGCTTTTTACAGGTTTAATATAATGAGTGTTTAGCATGTGATGCTATCAAGGGCTGGATGATGTGATAATGAAGTAAACAGTGATCCTTTCTCGCTTTAGTTTTTTTGAGATGGGATTTCTCTGTATAACAGTCCCTCCTGGCTGTCCTGAAACTCACTTTGTAAACCAGGCTGGCTTTGAACTCATAGAGATCCACCTACTGCCACCTCTGGAGTGCTGGGATTAAAGGCATGGCCAACCATGCCTGGCTTGATCCTTTTCTCATGAGAACTCAGTATGTTTAGGAATGTAGACAGCAATGAATTATTACCCTGGAGCCTTTTAATTTCACTTTAATAATATTTTATTACTTTGGTACTTATATTTTGTAGGTGTATGTGTGCATGTAATAAAAATTGACTTCAGTTCAAGAAGCACTAATTTGCAGCTATTTGACAAGTGCTACAGTGGAGACCAGAGTGTGACAATCTTTTTTTTTTTTTTTTTTTTTTTTTTTTGACTACATGCATGCATGAACTCACTCGTGAGAATTGAAAACAGAATGGCTTTAAAGAGAAGAGAATCAGTGTCTCCAGGGTTAGTTTAGGTGGTCCCACAGTCAGCTCTGAGACCATTGCATCTCATAAGACCCTCCTGAAGACTAGTGCAGAACATGTCATCTGAGTCAGTGCCACCAAGCAGCTTGAGAAGTCTCACAGGAGGGCATTTGAGAGTTTTCTATCATTAAGTATACAGGGGCTTTTTGCCAAGTACAGAGAAGTCTGTGTAGGTGTACTGTAACTTAGTGGGCTCTATGTAAATTCTTGAACTATTGACTCTAGGCT